GCCTAAGGAAGGGAGGTGGGAGGGAAGGTTAATGGTAACTAAAAATACCTGGCCCCCTCCGACCCCCAGGACCCCTGGTCAGACCCCAGCCGAGAGAGAGAGAGAGAGAGACAGAGACAGAGACAGAGACAGAGACAGAGACAGAGAGACAGAAAGAATGAGAGACAGAGAGACAGACAGAGGAAGAGACAGAGAGATAAAGAGAGAGACAGAGAGAAAGAGAGACAGAGAGACAGACAGAGACAGAGAGACAGAAAGAATGAGAGACAGAGAGACAAAAAGACAGAGGAAGAGACAGAGAGATAAAGAGAGAGACAGAGAGAAAGAGAGAGAGACAGACAGACAGACAGAGACAGAGACAGAGAGACAGAGAGAGACAGAGACAGAGAGAGACAGACAGAAAGAATGAGAGACAGAGAGACAAAAAGACAGAGGAAGAGACAGAGAGATAAAGAGAGAGACAGAGAGAAAGAGAGACAGACAGAGACAGACAGGGACAGACAGAGACAGAGACAGAGACAGAGGCAGAGAGAGACACAGAGACAGCATGTATCCGTAGGCACAATTAGGTTACCTTCTGGTATGTCCTTCGCCATCTGTGGAACGCTGTCGTGACTCCATCTGGGTCTCACCAACTGCTGGCAAACACTGAGCCCCTTCAAGTCACAGGGGCCACTAACCCAATCAATCAACAAGCTTTTGTCAAGGCAGCCCGGTGGCTCAGTGGATAGAGCACTGGGCCTGGAATCAGGAGGACCAAGTTCAAATCCAGCCTCAGACACTTTACTAGCTGTGTGGCCCTTGGCAATCCCTTTACCTCAGTCTGTCTCAGTGTCCTCATCTGTAAAATGGGGATAATAATCGCACCTACCTCCCAGGGCTGGAGTTGATACTTGCAAGCCTCAATGAATGCCGGCGATTACTATCCCGAGAAAATATTCTGGCTTCCGTAGACCTCAGTTCCTTCCTCTGCATGATGAGGGAGGTTAGACCAGTGGTCTAGGTCTGTGGTCTTATGAAATCGGTTTAAGGGTCAAGAATTGCTCAGAACTACTCTCCCAGGTTCCTCCGGAGGGAACGTGTGCTGCGGGGGAGGGGGGGGAGGGACTGTGAGAATCTGCAATAATACTAAGTCTCGAAATTATGCCAGACCCACTTTCTATTCATTCATTCATTCATTCATTCACTTTACACCTGCAAAGGCTCTTCACATTCTTTGGGCACTGGACCCCTCGAGACAGATTAGTCAAGCCTCTGGACCTCTTTCAGAATCAAGATTTTAAATGCATTAAATAAAATGCAGAGGATTACAAAGAAAACCAATTCGATGGAAATTCAGTTGTTCGACATATGTTTTCAAAGTCCACAGTTAAAACCCCCCCCACGTCAGCAGAGCCGTAATCCAATCACCTCGTTGTACACATGGGGAAACTGAGGCCTGGAGAATGGAAGGAGTCTGACAGATACCATTCAGCAAATGCAGAATCAGATCTCCCGAGACCCAGGTCTGCCGCTGGCGAATGACCCACCGTCCGGGGGACGTGGGAAGGACAAAGCAATTCTGAGAGACCCAGGAAAGCTGGGTTCCCTGGAGGCTTTCCCCTTTATGTGGTTTTATATTTATTCTCTTTATAATTATATGTATATATTTACATGTATAAAATAAATGTTATACACACACCCCTTGAGAATAGAGATTGATATATTCTTTGTTATCCAAAGTAGGCACTTAAAAATACTTTTTGGTTCCTTGATTTTCAAAAATTATATATGTGTATATAAGTATATATGCACATACATACATATATAACTTACAGTTATATGTGTGAGTATAACTGTAAGTTTAACAAAACATTTTCCAAACATTTTCTTTGGGCCTCTAGAGCCCTCCACCACCTGACTCCAACCTACCTTTCAAACCTTATTATATTATATTATAATTTCCTTCATATATATTTATATATACATATATGTGTATGTGTATGTATGTATATGTATACATATGTATATATATATTAGCCAAACTGGCCTTCCTGCTGCTTTCCCATGAAACACCCCATCTCCAACTTCTGTGCCTTTGCCTAGGCTGTTCCCCATGCCTGGAACGCCCTCTCTCAGCATCTCTGCCTCTCAGAATCCTTAGTTTACTTGAAAGCTAAGGACTTTTACATGGCCGCTACGGGGTGCCAGGCCTGAAGTCAAGAACACTTATCTTCCCCAGTTGAAATCTGACCTCAGACACTTACTAGCTGTGTGACCCTGGGCAAGTCATTTCACTCTATTTGCCTCAGTTTCGTCATCTGTAAAATGAGCTGGAGAAGGAAATGGCAGGCCACTCCAGCATCCCTGCCAAGAAAACCCCAACGGGGTCCCAAAAAGTCAGACACGACTGAATCATAGGCCTCTTATGCCCCCTGGTGTTCCCTCCAAATTATGTCATATTTATTGTGCATATATTTTGTAAGCAGATAGAGAGCTGGCCCCGGGCTCAAGTCCCGCCCCTGACACATCCTGGGAAGTCACTTAACCTCTCAAGGATTCTAGACAACTCCCCGAAACTACAACTTTACCAGGACATAAAAAATCCCAACATTGACAGAAGGGTTTCCTATAGCACTGAAATCACAGTCCCTGTCCCTATACTTATTTATTTATGTTATTTATGAGGCAGCCGGGTGGTCCAGCGGCCAGAGCCCTTGCAAGGCTTTGTGTAGTCCCCCCAATAGAAGGGAAGGTCTGGTGGACAGCATAGGCTGAGGCTTGGCAGTGATAAGGGGCCAGGGACTCAAGGGAAGAGGACAGGCTACAGCTGGTCTGGTCACGAGCGGGTCAGGACAGGGAAGGGAAGAGAGTGGAGCCAGTCAGGAGGGACGACCTGGTAAATGGGGAGGGGCTGGAGTGAGGGGTTGCAAGTCAAAGAGAGAGATGGGATAACAACAGAACAAGCACTCTCAGCGTTCCTGAATGTGGAAGCTGAACCCTTGTGGGTTATGACAAGACGGGCTATGGCTCTCTTTGTGGCCAAAGTGGAACAGAAGAGCGAGTCATAGAAAATGAGTGAACCAGGACCTGGGAGGTCAGAGGGTCGGAGGGAGCATCTGTATGTATGTTCAAGCCCTTTACTATGAGAGGAAGAGTTAGGGAGACAGAAAACTTGTGAGCTCCGGCCTGAACTCATTAAAGAAAGGGGAGCACCTGGAGGTCCGTGGACAGCAGTCCCCAGAATCTTGATCAGCCGAGAAATATGGACGGAGTGTATGTTCAAAGGACTGGCGCTCCTCAACTTTAACTGCGGAACAGGCATTCCAGAGAGCACAGTGGAAGGTGGGGGGTAGGCTTGAGTGCAATGGGAGAAAGGGAGTGGGCAGTGGAGGCTGGGAATGGAGTTCAGAATCCCTGGCATGGGCAGAGGCTGGTGAGGTGGGAGAATGCTAACCATTAAGCAATGAGTTCAGGCAGATTCTTAGTGACTGGAAAGAAGTCCATTGAGGGAGGCTGAGGATTCAGCCAGGTTAATGTAAGCAGGCGGTGATTGTCAGTTCCTGTCAGGCCTGGAGGACAGGCGGCACCCACAGGAGGCCTGAGCTGGTGATCCCAGGCAGGTCTAATCTGGGAGTGGCCTCCAAGGCCTGGATCTGTTCCAGAAAGCAGCCCTAGGAAGTCCCTGGAGAGGCTACAAATCCTATGGGCAAGTAACACTCCCTAACTAGTCTTCCAAGATTTCCCCCAACTCCAACTCATTCTTGACACTGTAGCCAGTGATTTCTTAAGAGTCACTCCCCCTCCCCCACCGGCTCACATAGAAACTTTCAGTTCAGCAGTGAACACCCTTCCCAGCCCGGCCCCTCGCCCTAAATGCGCTCCTCCCCTCCATCTCCCACCGTCTGCACTCGCTGAACCCCACACCTGGAATGCTCTGGCTCTTTGCCTCCTATTCTTGGCTTCCTTCAAGGCTTAGCTCTCATTCCCGCTTCTGTCCCAGGCCTTTCCGGATCCCCGGGCACCCTCCCCTCTGACAGTCCCGTCTATCTACCCCGTCTGAATCTTGGCCTTCGCACGCTGCCTCCTGCGTTAGACTCGGAGCTCCTGGGGACAGGCACTGGGCTTTGCCTTTCACTGTATCGCCAGGACTCAGCACCGCGACTGGCACGTGGTAGGCGCTTAATAAACCTCTGGTTATATGTTTTGCATGATTGCACATGTATAATCCAAATCAAACAGCTTACTGTCTCCCGGAAGGGGGAGAGAGGAGGGGGGGGGAGAGAATTTGGAATTCAAAATATCTTTTAAAAAGAATGTTGAAATAAATAGCTTGTTAACTGCCTGGCTTGAGATTGTAAGCTCCCTGAGGGCAGGGCCTGTCTTTTGCCTCTTTTTGCATCCCCAGCGTTTAGCACAGCCCCTGGCACACAGTGCGAGCTAAATATGTTTACTGAATTGAAGACAGGCTGCAAACGCGTGGAGAACGGCCAAGGGTGGTGGAACTGAGTGCGTGCCGGCCCAGACATGCCCGGCTAAGGTGGGGAGGGCCAGTTACCTCGGCTGGCCGCCGGACAAGTTTCCGGCCTCAGCACCCTTCAAAAGCCATCGGCGCAGGGAGAGAGGGGCTGCGATCTGCAGTTGAGTACCCAGCCCCCTTACAGGTGCTAGTAAGAGATGGAGGACCCTGCCCACCCCATGCTGGAATCTGCGGGGAGGGGGAAGTGGGCTGCTTCTCGGCATGGGCCCGCCCAGAACTCGGGCTTTACCATCTTTGCCCCACGAGAGGGGGAGCAGGGTGGGGGGAGAGGCTTCTCTGGCTCCTGCTGAGTGTCCACAGCGTGTCCAGCTCCCATTTGGTCACTCCAAGGCCCGACCTCCGCAGCGCTCTGGGCAGAGAAGGGGGTCGGGCCAGCGCTGGCGGGGCTGTGCCCCCCGCCCCAGCTCCCCTCCCTGGCCTCCCCCCGCCGCTTGCGAACAGTGGAGGCGCCCCATGGAACACTTTGTAACTGTTGCCGACCGCAGCGTCCTAATCTGGATCGCGGGCGGCGCCAACGTTCCATCCTCCTGCGGCGGTCTATAGCGTCCGGGACAAAGCCGGGGCTGCAGCCATGGCGGTCAAAGTCCGTGTGGTTTACTGGTGAGCCGCTCTGGCGCTGGGAGATCCCCTCGGGGAGGCGTGCATGGTGGGGCCCGGCTGTGACGGGGCCCCCAGCCCCCAGCCACCCACGCCCGTGTGCACGGGAGCCTGTCCAGGAAAGAGCTCCTCTCCGGAACCTCCCAGGGGAGCCGAAACTGGGGCGCGGGGTGGGGGGAGAGGGTGCCGGAGTCAGGAGGGGGTACACACCTTGGGGGGGACTCCAAGCGGGCCCTTTTGGGGGGGTGGAGTGGGTTTGGAAGGGAATTTTCCCCCTCCCCTCCATTCAAAAACATTGAATGTTTTTATCCTAACTGAGGTTTCTGTCTTCTCCCCCCACCTTGTCTGACGCGTCCCCCCCTGCTAGCGGTGCCTGAGGTTACAAGCCCAAGGTCAGTGCTCTGGGGGTGGGGCGGAGGGTGGAGTCGGGGAATGATTGGGGAGGCTGTGTTGGCAAACACCGCCACCCTATGTGATCATCGTCGCATCTTTTGCTCTATCTCAGTATCTATTGCTGAAGAAGAAGCTGGAAGAGGAATTTCCAGGCCTCCTGAACATCGTGAGTGTATCGTGGTGGGTGGGTGTTGGGGGGAGGAGGGTGTCATGTAACAAGAAATCTTAGCCCCAGAGATTCTAGCCTCAGATGTCTGCTGAGCAGACGGTGAGCAGGGCGGCTCGCACCCCAGCTCACCATCCGGGAGCTCTACCTTTTCACTCCGCTTCAGCTGGGCGGGGGTGGTACCTAGTAAATTCAGTGCCCGGGGCCACAGCTCCTGGGACTTGCCCTAGTTACTGCAAACACCTTGTCCCAACCCACTTCCCACTGTCCCAGAGCTGGGGTGGGGCCGGTGGGGGGATGGACATTGTGAAAGCCTCAGCCTCTTTCCTCCCTGCCTCCAGAATGGCGAGGGGACCCAGGAGGTCACCGGCTTCTTTGAAGTAATGGTTGCTGGAAAGCTTGTGCATTCCAAGAAGGTGAGTGGGGCTGCATCTGGGTCTTCCATCCCCCTCCCTCCTGTTTCTGCCTGGTCACTGCTTGGTGACCTGAGGCCAGCAGCTGCCTCCATGAGGAGCGGGGGAGGGCCCTGTGCACAATGGAAGCATTCAGCTATTGGGCTGAGATTCTGTGGCCAGAGGAGCTGGGGGGTGGGGGCAGCTCTGGCTCACCCCCTCTCTGCTCCCTAGGCTGGGCATGGCTTCGTGGACTCCTCAGACAAATACCAGCGTATTGTGGCAGAGATCAAGGCCGCCCTGGGCAAGTGAGGCCTGAAGGCAGAGGTGAGGGGTGCCCTGGGGCAGCCAGGCCAGGGATGGGGCTGGCCTTCTGGGCTGCCGTTTCTGCTTGAGGACAAACTCGTATCCTGACCCGAGGGGTGACCCTGCCCGAATGAAAGTGGGAGGTGGTCCCACTTTTCATGGGTCAGCCTTGAAATCTGGCGGTCCTGACTTTCCCCTGTCTTCTCTCCTTAGCTCAGGGGCCTTGTTCCCATCCCTGCCCACGGTGCTTTATGACGGGAAGGATTGAAATGTCCTCTGGATTCCTGGTTCTTCCCTGAAATCCTTGCATCTGTTGGGCTGGGGCTGGGGCTGGGGCTGGGACGGATGCCCCTGGATCCTGCGCTGCGTGTATGTGTGTCGCTAGCCCTTTGTCCAAGGTCTCGCTGTCCTATGGGTCTGTTCGACTCCTCTCAGATTCCTGCTTCTTCCTGCCCCGACTTAACCCCAGTGCTGTCTCCCCCATTGAGGCATCCTTTCCTCAGCCCCTCCCAGGTCCATTGGGCCTTCCCTCTTCCCTGCTGGAGTGCTGGCCCTCCTGTCCAAGCCCCTTGGTTCTCAGACATCTCTTCTGTAAAATGAGAGGGTGACAGGGCTCAGAGTGGCCTTGTACATTGGAGGGGGGGCTTTTCCACCTTGACTGGGGATGGAGGGAGGGTCCCACCTGGCCTGGCGGGGCCCAGGAAGGCCTTAGGAAACAGTATTCACCACAAGGGCTAATTAATAAATAGAAGAAATTAAATGTTGGTTACGTCTGTGACTCTGGTCTTGGGCAGGGAGAGGGGAGGCAGCTCCTGGGGTCTCCAGGTTGGGAGGCTGGTCCTGCCACCTCGTCATTCTATGGGCCCCAAGTCTTCCTCTGCCAAATCAAAAAGGTGAACAATTACTGTAGGCTGGGCTACTAAATGCAACTCGGCCCTCCAGGAGCTTACTGAGAAGGTAGATCATGTGAAGTGACTATAGACTGTGATTATTTGGGGTCCCCTGACAACTGAGATGATTGGGAACTGCTTCCCAAAGGATCTCAGATGAGCAAAACCTAGAAGTGCCTTCTTGGCATCAAGCACAGCCTGGGCAAAGGCGTGGAGGTGGGAGACAAACTGTTGAAGTTATCAAAGCTGGAATGTGGCAGGTATGAAGCGGGGGGAGTAATGTGAACAGAGCTTGGGGAAGACTGGAGCTAGAATGAAGCATTTGAAGGAGAAGGGGGATCGGGGTTAGTACTTTATCTTAGAATAACGAGGGAACCATTGACAATTCTGAAGTGGGTGAGTGACCTGGTCAGATCTGTACCCATTGAGGGTTATTCTGGCAGCTCTGTGGAGCAGAGATTAAGAGAGGATTTCACTGGGGAAGTGGGAGTCCAATTTGGGGGGAGGGTGATTGGACCAGATCTCAAAGTTCTCTGCCTAAATGTGTTTTAGAATGGTGCTTCAACCACAATTGCACGGCTAGGTTTGGGGGGTGGGTACGTCAGGAAGAACGGAGTTCAACTCTGGCCTCAGACACTGGCTTGTGTAACCATGGGCAAATCACTTAACTTGGTTTATCTCTTTTTCCTCATCTGTAAAATGAGCTGGGGAAGGAAGTGGCAAAACCACTCCAGTGTCTTTGCCAAGAAAAACCCAAATGGAGCCATGAAGAGTTGGACATAACTGAAAAATGACTGAACAACAACCTGGTGGTAGAAAGAGTTTCCACACCAAAAGTCTGCCCTCTCTCTCTCTCTCTCTCTCTCTCTCTCTCTCTTTCTCTTTCTCTTTCTCTCTCTTTCTCTCCCTCCCTCCCTTTCTCCTGTCTCTCCCTCCCTCACTCTCTCCTCTCTCTCTCTCTCCCTCCCTCACTCTCTCCTGTCTCTCTCTCTCTCTCTCTCTCTCAAATGTGCTACATTCATCAGTTCTTTACACTTTTTGTGTCAAGGAAAGACGACCCCTTCTCAGATTCGTGTTTGGTTTGGTTTGGTTTGGTTTGGTTTTTTTAAATCATAATTGAAGAAAATGCTAAACTCCAGTGAGACGTTAGATGCAATTTTACTTTCCCATCCAAATTCATGGACCCTCAGAAATCTATGCACAAACCCCAAGTTAAAAATTCCTACTCTAGTATTGTGGAAACACAATCGGGATAACACAAGATTTAGCAGCTTCTACATGAAGGGATCAGAGAGCTTAGAATATATTCCAGAGGTCAAAGGAGCTAGGATTAAAACCAAGAATCACATACCCAGCAAAACTGAGTGTTATCAGTGAGGGGGAAAAATTGATATTCAATGATGTAGAGGAATTTTGAGAAGCCAGAACTAAATAGAAAATTTGACTTTCAAATACAAGACTGAAGAGAAGCATGAAAAGGAAAACAGGAAAGAGAAATCATAAGGGACTTAGTAAAGTTGAATTGTTTACGTTCCTACATGGAAAGATGGTATTTGTAACTCATGAGACCTTTCTCATTATTGTTGGAGGGAATATGTATAGACAAAGGGCACAGGGCGAGTTGAATATGAAGGGATATCTAAAAAATAAAATTAAGGGGTGAGAGGATTATACTGGGAGAAGGAGAAAGGGAGAGATAGAATGGGGTAAATTATCTCAAATGAAAGAGGCAAGAAAGCTTTTACAGTGGAAGGGAAGAGGGGGGAGGTGAGGGAATGAGTGAATCTTACTCTCATTGGATTTGGCTTAAGGAGGGAATAACATACACACTCAATTGGGTACAGAAATCTCTCTTACCCTAAGGAAAGTAGGGGGGAAGGAAATAAGGGGACGGGGGTGATAGAAGAGAGGATAGATTGGGGGAGGGGGTAATCAGAAGCAAACACTTCTGGGAAGGGACAGGGTTAAAAGAGAACAGACTAAACAGGGCAGGATAGGATGAAGGGAAATATAGTTAGTTTTTCACAACAAAATTATGGAAGTGTTTTGCATGACTGCACATGTATAGCCTATATCCAATTGCCTTCTCAATGTGGGGGAGGAAGAGAAAGAATTTGGAACTCAGAGTTTTAAAAACAAATGTTAAAAGTTGTTTTTACATGCAGCTGGGAAATAAGGTACACAGGCAATGGGGTGTAGAAATCTATCTTACCCTACAGGAAAATAGAAGGGGATAAGAAAATAGGGGGGGAGTGATAGAAGGGAGGGCGCATTGGGTGAAGGGGTATTCAGAATGCATGCCATCTTGAGGTGGGGGAAGGGGAGCGATGGGGAGAAAATTTGGAACTCAAAATCTTGTGGAAGTGAATGTTGAAAACTAAAAATAAATAAATTTTTAAAAAAGAAAAAAAATTACTACTCTGGAGCTTTGCCAGAAATTCAAATAGAATTCACTGGTCTAGTCTTCACAGAAACCACTAGCTTCTGTTTTTTGAAAATCACAATGACATCTGACGTGGTCTGGTCCTCTGCCGCTCTCCCTCTCCCTTCCTCTATGACTTTTCAGAGGTCACTGACAGTGGCTCAGGGTTCACTTCTGCCTGTTCTTCAGTGCCCAAGGTTATGGTGCACCAGGGGAGGTAAGACAATTCATTGAGGGAAGCCGGGGCTATCTTAGTACATCCTTACTTATTTGGGCTACCTGCTCCCCGTGGGCCCATTTTTGTCCTGCTCCTGTTCCAGTCCAGAGATCGTCCTCCTTGGTGGAGAAAACGGAGGCAAATTAAAAAGCAAGCAGTTCTGGCTTCTCTGTTGTCTGCCATCATTGTCTCATCCACCCAAGGGATATCTGGTCCTCTCCCCACTTCCATAGTTCTCAATCCACTTTTAAAATAATTTATTTTTCAATGGGCAAACATTGTCTCTCCCATTTTCTCTCCCTCCCACCCCTCCAAATGAAAAGAAAAGAAAAACACACCCTTGTGACAAATAGGCTTTGTTAAGCAAAACAAATTTCTACATTGTGCAGAAGTGCTTCTCTTGATCACACCCCAAGTGATAAGCTTCAAAGCATAAGTGCACAGTACTCAAGGCGACAAAGCTAGCTATTACCATGTGAAAAAAAGTGCTCAGTCATTAATAGAGTAAAGCAACTCTGCGGTTCCACTCCAAAAGTTGACCAAAAAATTGAGAGACAAACGTTGGTGAGGCTGTGGGAAAACAGGCATGTTGTTGCCCTGTTCGTTGGCGGGGTAGAGCTAGCTGTTAATTGGTCCAGCCATTCTGGAACTCTGCCCCCCAAATTATTAATTGTGCATACCTCTTGACCCGCCCCCAAAGAGATCAAAGGAAGAGGAAAAGCACCCACATATACAAAAATACTTGTAGCATCAATTTTTATCATGGTGAAGAATTGGAAACTAAGGGGATGCCCATCAACTGAGGAATGGCCGAACAAGCTGTGGTATGCAAGAACACTTTTTGTGATGTAAGAAATGAGGAAACGGATGGTTTCAGAGAAGCTTCAGTAACTTGGCTGGAATCACACAGCCATTAAGTGTCTGGACTGGAACTCAGGTCTTCCTGCCTCCCGCCAGCTCAATGTTCTATCCTCTTCACCACCTGGCCGTTCAGGCCTTATCTCACCAAATTAGTGATAGCGGCAAAATCAAGTGTATCTCCTTATTTTAGGATCTCTAGTTCTTTTTATTAATAACCATACTTTGTGCATTTGTGTATAGACATCTGAAGTCATGGGTTTTTGTCTCCTTTTTCTCAAGAGTCTTGGCAGCTATTCTCCCCAGAGCAAAGCTACTCTGTACAGTATCTAGCCTGGTGTAAACACACAGGTCTTTTCTTTTCAGTATAAAGCCCTTTTGATTAGGTTTGCAAGACTAGGAGCAAACATTCTTTGAAACCTTTGCTAGGTACACTCCATCCCTGGCCAGGGAACTGCTATTCCCACATTTTAGGTCATGGTCCAGAAAAAAATCCAAACCCCATTCTCAGACATCATCTTCCTAACCAGCGATTTATTCCCTTCATCCTTCTCCCTCTTTTTTTCAGGCAGCAACCCACACGTGCACCATGTGGGCCACTTAAGACCTCCAGTTTCTTGCCCATGACTAGTCTTTGGCCATGCTATGTTCCTTCAGGCAGCACCCCTTGGATCTCCGTAAATAATCACAAGTAGAATCAGCTCTGCTCCAAAAAGCTTGGGGAGGTTCTCTGCTGAGTCTTGGAAATGCGCCCCAGAAGGCAGCAGATCTATTCAGTCTTATCAGGGCAGAAGTCTTTCTTTCCCAAGGAATCACCAAGGCCACTGCTCTACTCCCACCTTCTGCCAGAAGCCTTTCCCGAGGCCTGGCAATGCTGTAGCCTTTCTCAATTTACCCTGTCTATAGTTGTGGTTTTTTTGCATGTCGTCTCCCCCATTAGACTCTGAGCTCCTTGAGGGAAGGGACCATATTTTTGTCTCTTTTTATATCCTCCTGTTCTTAGCACAGTCGCTGACACATAGTCAAAAGGTGCTTCATGCAAGTTTGACCGACTGACCCACAATGGATGGTCTTTTCTTAGCTTGCAGCACCTATGGACTTCTTTGACCATCCTCAAGAGATAAGCAGCCCCTTCCTGTCAGGGCATCCTGTCCCCTCCTTTTTAGGAAAAGCCTCCAATGCCTTTCAATGCTCCTTCCTCCCTCTCTCAGATCTCTGCCATATTCTTCCCCGCTCTAATCTATGGACACAAGTCGAGGTTCCCCTTTGCCTTCTCTATTTAAGGTATAATTATTTTGCTGTCCTTAATAACCTGGAAGGTGAAGGATTTCCTTGAGTTTCTCTTTCCAGACTTTGAGCCTAGATGTCAGGTCTCGGCTGTGCAAATATCACATTCTGAAGGCCATCCGGGCACAAATCTCCCCAATGGCCACGGTCTTTGTTTTTAATGTTTACTGAATTGTCCTTCAGAACTGGTTGGGCAAACTGCTTCTGGAGAATGCCAACTCCAGAGTGGTCACGGGTTCATAGATGTAGAGCTGGAAACAACCTTTGGGATCATCAAACTAACACACACTTTTTTTTTTTGTTTTACAGACGAGGAAACCGAGGCACAGAGAGGTGAAGGGATTTGGCCAGTCACTGAGCTAGTAAGTGGCTGAGGTAGGATTAGAATCCACATTTTCCTGACTCCGGTTCCAGCCGTCCATCCATCATACCACAGTGACTCCAATGGATTCCATCTTCAGACTGAATCTTCCTTCAGTTTATATCCCTCTCCTTCAACTTTTCCTCATCTTCCCAAATTTCTTCTCGATAAATCAGCCCTCCTCACAATTACAAAGCCCTCCAAATCCCATGCATGATTCCTTCATTTCACTTTCTTCTGCTCAGCGCTCCTACAACTGGTCATGTTGTTTGGAGGGAAGGGTCTTTTGTGGCTGGCACACGGTAAACCCCTAATAAACGTGTTAAATGGAATTGTATTGGGTATCAATCAAGGCATACAATTAGACTGATGCTTTCCTAAGATGTCTGCCACTAGGAAGGAGGACGCCAATAATCATAATCAACACATTTACATAAAATAATAATAGCTAACCTTTTTATAGTGCCTACTGTAGGCTAGGCACTGTGCTACGTCCTTTACAAATATTATTTTATTTGATCCTTACAACCACTCTGGGAGGGAGATGCCATTATTATTATTCCCCTTTTACAGATGAGGAAAAGTGACTTGCCCAGGGTCACACAGCTAATAATCTGTGGCCAGATTTGAACTCGGGTCTTCCTGACTCCAGGCCTGTCGGATCTATCCAAAGAACCACCTGCCTACCCTGCCCCCTACAACGCAAATATTAGCTATTACTATTTTATAGCCCTTAAAAGTTTGCAAAGCACCTTACATTATTTCATTGGCTCCTTCTAACAACTCTGCCATTAGCTGCTATTATCATCTTCATTTGATAAATGAGGAAACTGAGTGAGAGAAGCTAGGTGCCTCGCCCAGGACCACTGAGCTAACCAGGACTTGAGGTACGATTTGAACTCAGATCTTTCTCCCTCCAAGTCCAGCACTCTGTCCACTTCACCATCTACTGTCTCTACCTCCTCTGCAGGGTCTAAATGGAAAAGAGATGGCCTGTGAATGCTGAGGTCCTTTTTGGATGCTTCCCTTTAAGGATGACATTGTACCGATTGCAACGGTCTCCTTAAGTGGAGGACTCCGGTCTGGCCTAAGAAATCCACACGTGAAAAACCAAGTGGATGAAAAATTCTTATTGTCCAGACTGTGGCTGTGACAATTTGATGGACAGCTCATTTATTGGGTTATTTTGGGGTATGAACATCTTTGACAGATACTGCTGATGGAAAATGAGCTGGGCTCAGGGTCCAGTGCATTGTACTGAAGGTCATGTAACTAGTAAGTGTCTGGATTTGATCTTGTCTTCCTGACTCCAATTTCAGCACTCTATCAATAAAATAAAAATCCATCTTTCAAATGGTGATATTATGCAATTCTCCCAAAGAATTGCAAAGAAGCCACCACTTTTTTTTTTTTTTTAGGCAATTGGGGTTAAGTGACTTGCTACACGTAATTGTACGTGTAAATGTACACGTCATTTCAAACTGCCTTCCAGAATGGTTGAGTCAGTTCACAGTTCCACCAATGCATTAGCGCACCAGTCTTCCCACCGCCCCAACAACCCTGATTATCCTTTTATTCTTGTCTTTTGTCATTTTTGCCAGTTTGCTGGGTGTGAGGTATAAACCTCAGGGCTGCCCTCTTTTGCTGTTCAGTCCTATCTCTTTGTGACACTATTTGGGTTTTCTTGGCAGAGATACTGGAGTGGTTTGCCATTTCCTTCTCCAGCTCATTCACAGATGAGGAAACTGAGTGAAGTGACTTGTCCAGGGTCCCACAGCTAGGAAGTGTCTGAGGCCAGATCTGAACTCAGGGAGAGGAGTCTTCTTGTCTCCAGACCCGGGTGCTGCACCATGTAGCTGCCCCCAAAATCCCCTCGTGTGGAGCATTCTTCCATATGGTGTTAGGTGTGCAATTCTTCTTTTGAATAATGTTTGCTGATAGCTTTTGTCCACTCTTCTACTGGGGAATGGCTTTTGGTCTACATTTGTTTGCTGCCTACATATCTTGCCTATATTAGTTCGTAATAGAACTTATAATTTGTTTATGTTAGTTGCCTACATGGCTAATGTGGAAACGTTCTGCATGACTGCACACGTAGAATCTATATGGAATTGCTTGCCTTCTCAAGGAGAGCAGAGGCGAAGGAGGGAAAGAATGTGGAACTCAAAATTTTAAAAAACGAATGTTAAAAATTGTTTTTATGTGTAATTGGAAAATAAAATAAAATACAACAATTTTAAAAGTAAGTTAGCTGCCTATCTATCAGACCCTTACTGGAGATAGTCGATACAAAGATGCCCCTCCAGTCAACCTCTTCCCTTCTTATTCTCAATGCATTGATTTTGTTCAGGTAAAAGCTTTCCAATTTCACATAATCAGAATTATTTTAAACTTTGTTTAGTTTAGGATTCCTGCCCAGCTCACTGCATGTGATCAGTTTCTCTCCCAAGGTTTTCGTTTGTTTGTTTGTTATTAATTACCCAGGAATTGAAAAGGAATGTTAAATAGCCCAGGGCCAACCACCAAACCTCCCTCAATTGATCCAGTCATCCAACTAGCTGAACCCCACCCCCCACGTCTCTGCATCCCTCCTCTGCATCTTTCCCCCAGAACAGCGTCCATGGAAACCTTGACTACACATACTCCTGCCCTCACGGCCCAGCCTCAGAAGTCCCATTTGGGGCGCAGCCACCCTGCCGCTGGGAGAGCCCGGCTCCCTTCGCTAAATGCCATCCCTGAGGTCATCAGTGAGAACAAAGCAGACTAGGGTCCTCTCCTCTTCGCCAGGGGGCTCAGTACATGGCTGGGAACACAAGATGGTGGCTGGGGAGTCAGCACCCATCTGTCAGCTGGCTCGTCAAGGTCTACTAGGGGCTCGGAGGGATTCCTGCTCTCGGAGGGAGGCAGCTGGTTGTGATTACTGAGGGAGGCCCCAGTTTCCTCTGAGAAGGCCCTCCCTACCCCAACCCACCCATTTGGGAGGAAGGAAGCTTTGTAGAGAACTGCTGGGGCCACAGAGGACAGAACGAGAGCCCAGAGCCCAGAAGGGAGAACCCTGTTCCAGCTCAGGCTCTGCCCCGAGCTGCCCTGCCTTGAAGGAACGTTTCCCTGAAAGTGAGTCAAACAAGGCCCTCCAGCAAGTTACCCACCTTTCTGGGGTGTCATGGACCTTTTGGGTCCGGGTGAGGCCTAGTGACCTTTTCTAAAAATAACTTTTAAGATGCATAAAAAATGTAGGATTACAAAGGAAACCAACTGTATGGAAATATCCTTGCCCCAAAACAAGTCTGGGAGCCCAGGTTAAGAACCCCTTGGCCCCCGAGGACCTGGCGGCTTCTTCCAGCCCTGAGAAACACAGCAGCCGTCAGGCAGAGTGGCCCGCTGTCACCTAAAGAGGTGGGGGCCGAGGGAGCCCGGAAGGCTATGGGCACCTGGGGAGTGCCTGCTTTGTGGTACTGCCCGACGGGCTACTCCTCAGGAAGAGGGCATGACCGCAGCCCTTCCATGGCCCAGCTCAACCATCAGACCAATTGACCAGCTGAAGGAAAGGAGAGAAAACCGTGTGATGGACAAGTTTTCCCCAACAGAGCAGGGGAGGCAGCTTACCAGGGATGCTGTGAAGGACACAGAGCCCTGGTAGGAAAGCCCAGAGCCCTGGGTTCTAATCCCAACTCTGACATGACTGGTGTGACCTGGATTCCTTGGGCCTTGGCTTCCTGCTCTGTAAAAAGAGTCCTTTGCAGCTCTGGATCTCGGCTCTGGGGACCCCCAAGGAAGGGGCTTGTTTTCTGTGGACCTCCCAGGGGTGATCGCCCCACACAAGCCAGGGCACGCAGGACAGACGGCTGGGCTTCTCAGTGCTGGCGAGGGCCCGAGGGCCACCAGGTGCAACTGTCCTGACAGCGGGGTGTGGCACCAGGCCGGCCCTGGCCATCCATGATCTCCCCCAGGCATTTAGCGGACACCGGCCTCCCTGGACTCTCGGCCCTCCCTCCAGGGATCCCCCTTTCTGACGGCCCATTGAACGTTGACAGGAGAGACCGTCCAGTCAAGTTTCGCCCACCAATATAAGCCTATCTTGTGTGATGCCCCCAATGCTCCTTGGACATGGGGCCAAGTGAAGTTCTGGGACAGGAAAGGACGGGGCATCCTCCCAGCTCAAGCGCACCAGGTGACCAGGTGACCAGAAGACCGAGGCCAGGGTCCAGCCAGGTGAATACAAAGCAAAGTGACTCCAGACCTTGAGGGCGACGGACAGTCACAGCTCGAAGGCCAGGGCTGGAGCACACCAGCGACCTCTTGGGTTCTCCCCAGGAATCCGGCCCGACCACAGCATGGAGGGGACGCAGACAGAGAAGCTGGCAGAGGTCGACTTTATTCACAGAGCACACCCGGCCCCCAGCCTGGGCGAGGGCCGGGAATCCCCCAGGGGGCTCACATGTGCAGTCTGCGGTGCCGGAGGATCTCCGTGGGCGTGAGCAGCAAATCCTTCTGGCAGATCTCACAGCGGTAGGCCCGCCGCAGAGTGGACACCTGGTGGCTGGCGGCCTCCTCCTCCTCCTCGCTGGCCCCTGGCAAGGGAAAGGAGGTGGGCTGAGAGCTGGGCGCTGGTCGCCCCACAGCTGGGGCGGATGGGCTGGCCTGGGAGGCCCAGACATCCCCCACCCCGGGCTGGACCCCCGCCCTCCTGCTCACCGTGGGCATCCTTGTCGGGGGCCGCAGGGCAGCTGCTCTCATGGCTCATCCGCTCCAGGGGGGTGAAGGGCATGTAGAGGCCGCAGTGAGGACAGGACCAGAAGGTCCTCAGGCAGTCACTGTACAAGTCTGCATCACTCTGAGGACCAGCACGCACGTCAGAGCCCGGGCCCAGGCCCCCCCCCGGTCCCAGCACCCACTTCTCCGAAGGTCCGGGGCGATGTCATTCCAGAGCTCTCTCCCCACCCTCCCCGACTCTCCCTGGGGCCCTTCATAGTCACTGGGGTTCGGGGGATTGTCGGGCCCTGGGCCTGGAGGACGGATGCTCAGCCCATCTGTGTGCTTGGACTGTGTCCTTGCCCGTCTCTTGCCCTCAGGGTCACTTACAATGCCCCCCACTCACCATGAGACAGTTGTAGGTGAGGAAGCTGGTGACGGTATAGCCGCCTTTGGTTTCATTGGGGGTCAAGGCCGCCTCCCCAAACAGGCCTGGGAGCTGCGGGGCAGCCGTGATGGTCTGGGGTCCCACATAGAGGTTCTGAGCCTCCAAGGCGGTCAGCCTGTGGATGCTGTAGGACACCTGGGGGGACGGTGTGAGAGTCAATCCTTCTGGCCAGGACCTGCCCCATCCCTCGGAGCTCCCCCTTCTCGCCTGGCACCCCGGCCCCCACCTCGGGCTCCATCCTAGCCACGCTGACCCCAGAGAATGGACAGGAAGCAGCATGTACACTATCAGACACCCAGCTGATGCCAGCTACGATTAAGGCCAGAGGCCCACAGAGGGAAGAGAGCAGAGGGATGGGGGGCCGAGGTAGGGCATCCCACACCCTGTGCTGTATGGGACCCTCAGACCACCTGGAGCTGCCCAGGTCCCAGAGGGAGGAGGCAGGTGCAGAGGCCGGCCTGGAACCCGGCCCAGAACCCGGCCCCTTGGGCCTCATGTCTGGGCAGGCTCAGCATGCCAGGGGCATTCACCCCCAGGGCAGCCTCCCAAGCCTGGCCCCGGGCAGTCGAGTCTCTGGCCCGAGGGTGTGACTTCTCATTTCTTCTAGATCCTAAGGTCCCCCTAGCTTAGCTTGCGGGATCTGGCCTAGAGACCTTGGATCTCATGAAGTCCAGCAGGTCCCGGCCCAATGCCGCTGCCGCTTTCCTCTCCGTCTTGGGAGCCGCGGCTGCCCCGTCCTCCCCTCGCGGCTGGGCCTGGCGGGCCAGCTGATGGTCCAGGGCCTCTTCCCAGCGGGCCCGGAGGCGCAGGGCAGCCGACAGGAGCTGCGTGGCGCCCTCGCTGCCCTCCAGCTGAAGCTGCAGCCAGCCGTCCGCAACCAGGCAGGAACAGTCACCATTTGTGTCCAGGCTGCGGCTAAAAAGCAGGAGAGCCTGGCATGGGGAAGAGAGGAGGGAAGGGTGAGGGGTCGCAGGTAGCTTGCTCCTCCCCAGGGACACCCATTCTTTCTTCCCGTGGGGGGTCCCAACGTCTGCCCCAAGTGAAGAGTAGGGGGCTGGGGGTAAAGATGGTGGGACAGGGCTGGGCTTGGGGTCAGGCCCACCTCTGACCCGTGCTGCCTCTCAGACTCTAAGAAGGGTGAATCAGCCCTTAGGCCACAGGGCTGCCGTTAAGGGACAGGTGAGACGACAGGGAAAACACCTTGTAAACTCCCCTGGCCCCCACACCCCAACTGGTACTGTTAACGCGCCTCCCTTCAGCCCAAACCCACACTTGTGGAAGGCAACACGCCGTCACTGCTCCCCCTCGAACCCAGGGTGAGGGGCGGCCTGGCCTGTGTAGCAGGAACTACGATGGCAGCTCAGGCAGCCAACCACTGATTACAGATCAGGTACCACGCACTGATTACATCCCTCCTACGTGCCAGATGCCACGGGCACCGGGGCCACAGACAATAAATAGAACAAGGGGCTGCCCTCATGGGGGAGAAAATGCACATTCCAACAAGGCACAAGGTGATTCAGGGGAAGCACCAGCAGCCAAGGGCATCAGGATGGGCCTCAGACAAGAGGCAGAGGAGAGAAGGGAGGGTGCTCCAGGAGGGAGGCACAGCCTGGGCAAAGGAACCACGGATGGGAGATGGAGGGAGCCTGTGAGCAACAGTAAGAAGGTCAGCCCCTCTCAAGTGCAGTGTGGGTGAAGGGGGAGAATTAATGGGGAATGGGGGGGGGCAACAGAGAGGAGGAAGCGGTGACCTTTTTCCCAAGCCTGCCTGGGGGACGGCTAGAGAGTACAGTCAGGTCTCAGCGGCAGGGAGGATGAGGGGCCAGCTGCCCTCTGGCTGGGGCTGGGGTCCCGGAGCCCACGCACCTGCAGCGCCGGCAGACGCACACAGTTCACCAGGTATGGCTTGTTGGTCTCCAGGAGAGAGACGAAGGCCAGGAGCTGGTGCTGGCCGCTCGGCCCATCCCTGCGATCTGAAAGGGACAGTGGTACGGCTCGTGTCTCCCGCGGGTCCCAAAGTCTCAGCGCCATGAGCCAAGGCAGCCTGCTACAGGGGACAGAGCCCTAGGTTCGAAACCCTCTTGAGACACCTCCTAGCTAAGGGCCCCTGAGGCGGCTGGGCTTGATGCCCCAGAAGGCCCTTCCACCACACAGAAGGCGATCCTCAGGGCAGCCCAGGGAAGGGTCATCGCCTTGAGTCCTGGGGTCCAGGCCAGACTCCCTGCCCCCCACTCACCTAGGCTCTTCTCCTGGGCCTCGGCCTGGCCTCCCTGCAGCAGGTCCGGGTTATTGGCGAACACACAGGTGGGGTGAAGGACAGCTCCCTGCTTGCTCTGGGTGTGGAAGAACTGAAAGGCCGGCAGAGGAGCTCAGGCCCCAGGCCCAGCCCGGGGAGCCCGGCCTGGGGATGGGGGGGAAGGGGCAGGCCTGGTCAGCACTAAGCCCGACCTGCAGTGTGACCGCCTCTGAGCCTCAGTCTCCTCGGCTATAAAATGGGGTCGCCACATCCCAGGGCCACAGGGAGGAGAGCCACACGGCCACAGAACCGGCAATGACAATGTGAGGAGCGAGACTCCTGGAAGCCTGCCCTTTGATCCACACTTTAAGGAAACTGAGGCCCAGGGAGGAAGAGACTTACCCAAGGTCACACAGCGAGGGAGTGGCAAAGCCAGGCCCCATTCTACATATGAAACGACTGAGGCCCGGAGAGAAGGGCCTTGCTCCAGGTCAGCCAGGGGCGCGTACCTGGTCCGAGTCTTTGCGGCAGCTGTTGAACTGGTCTGGGGCAGCCAGCTGGGGGTAGAGGCCTCGGCCCAGCACAAGCTTCAGCAGCGCCAGCTGGTCCCGGGACAGGTCCTGGGCAGAGCTGGCAGCAGCCTGCAGCTGGTCCACATCATGGCGAAGTTTGAACTTGACGTCCTGGGAAGGAAACGGGAGCGAGGCTACCTGGGAGCCGGCCCTGGGCCGGCCTGGTGACCCCAAAGGCTCTGGAGGCCCCCTGAGCCACGGCAGGGGGGAGGCGGGAAGGGCAGAGTGAGGCGGCAGCCCACCTGGATGTCCATGCGGTGGGCGCCACCCCCGGCCTGCGAGCCGGACGCCTCTGCATCCTCCCCGCTCGAGGAGCCGCCGTCCAGGGCCTCCAGCCGCAGCACCTTCCGCTTCCGGCCCTCGCCCTCCTCGTGCTGGCGCTTCAGCTGGTACAGCTCCCGGCGCTGGCGGTGTCGCTGCTGGCGGCTGTAGCTGTCTCCTGGCACCGCCCTGGCCTCAGCCAGCAGCCCGTGGTCCTGCAACAGCCCCTGCTCCAGGAAAGGCCGGAGAACGGGGATTTCACAGTGTACCCAGCGCACTCGCCCTGCCCGGGACCTTCCCCTCACCCCCCCGGAACGGGGCTAGGCCAGGCTCTGCGCTCTCGAGGGGCCGGCCCCTCGGCCTTCCCTCCACACCCATCAGCTGCACCCAGCTGGGCCCTTCCCTGCCACAATGTCCCTGCCACCCCAGCCTGGGAAGCCCCTCTCAAGTGCTAGTCCTCCAGCCTGGGCTCCCCATTTACACATGAAAGGACCCTATGAACCCAGAACTCTGGGGCTTGGCCCTTCGGGAGTGACTTTAGAGTGGGCAAAATGTATCCCAGAAGGGAGGATGCTCCAGGTTACGGGGCCAGGCTGAGGCAGGGTCCGAGGCAGGGTCTCCTGCACTCCTCCCTGCCCCACAGCCTGGTCTGGCCCAGGCCACGGCTGGACCCCCAGGGCAGCGGGTACTCGCTCTGTCCTTTCTGGGAATGGCGCGCTGTCACCAGGGAAGCAGGTCGGCCCGTCTGGGGGTGCAGGCCGGGCCCTGACCTTGAACTGCTGGCGCAGATTGGCGATCTCATACATGCGATGCTCCTCGAGGCCCCGGCGGCGGCACCACTTCCTGGAGTTGGCGCTCCGGTCTGATTTTACCTGGATGAGGAGGGGGCCCAGGGGATTCAGCAATCGGGCCACAGGACGAGGGTCAAGACCTGGTCCTCAGCCTCCTGCATGTGGGAAACAGGCCTCCCAGGGGCCCAGATCCAGCGGGAGGGAGGGGCTTCTCAGAGCTGCCAGGGCAAGGGGCAGAGCGCAGGCCCACCCATACTTTGGGAGGGGCCGGTCTGAGGAACAGATGGGCCACACGACATAGAAAGGGAAGCCACCCGCATGACCATGGCCTCACCTGCACCCAGGCATTGAAGGCATTGAGCAGAGTGAAGGGGTCCCCGTGGTCGCTCTCCAGGGGTTTCCGGGCTGTCCCACACTCCAGGTTGCTTTGAGCGCTGCGCACAAAGGGGGACTGGACACTCAGGGCCGCTGCCATGGTCAGCACAGGCTCCACCAGGTCGAACATGCAGCCGAGGATGAGGATCTTCCCTGGACAGAATCAGAATACTGCTAGAATGGAAGCCTCCAGAGGGCAGGGCTAGGTTGGTCTTTTCTTTACATTCCCAGGGCCCAGTAAACCGACCGGAGAAGTGGAAGATGGGGGGTCAGCAAGAGGACTTGGGGCTCGCCCCGCTGCCCTCCCTGCAGTGCCCCCAGGCCCTTGCCCTCCGAGAGCGCCTTCCCTCTTCCTCCCTCACTCCCTTGACGCTTCCCAGTGCGCCCCAAAGCCACGCTCCAGCCTTCTGAACCTCACTGTGGGCTCCCGGAGGGCGAGGGCTGAGGCATGTTAATAATCTGATTTGGGGCCTGCCCTGTGACGTCATCAGGGAAGGAAACCCTCTGTGCCAATGCTAACGGCACCTTCTCTGCATTTTCAGCCCCACAGAGTGCCGGGGGTCATCGGGAGGCCAAGTGCAAAGGACACTTGCCCCCACCAGGCGTTCCTGATTCAGGCCGTCTGTCCACCACGTCCCACTGACTCTCACAATAATAATCCCTCTCCTCTCTGGGTTTTCAGGACCCCTCACCCCCACCCCTCCAAACTCTCTGACCACTCCTCCTCTGTCTCATGTGCTGGATCCTCCTCCGATCGTGCCCTCTGACCCGAGGGGACCCTCAGTGCTATCCTGGGCTCTCTTCACTGGGTGACCTTGTCAGCTGCCATGGATCTTATTACCAGCCCTATGCTGATGATTCCCAAACCTACCTTCCCTGCCCCAACCTCTCTGCTGCCCTATCTTGCATCCTCAGCTGTCTAAGACATCTCAAACTCAGCACGTCCAAAACAGAACTCCTCTGTCCTCGTAACTGCAGAAGGCAGTACCGCCCTCCCATCCCTCAGAAGTGACCCTCCACCCGCAGGAACATCTATGCTGTTGCCAAGGCCGGCTGTCATCACCTCTGCAGCATCTCCTGAATCCGCCCCTTTCTCCCCGCTGGTACGGCCCCCACCCCTGGATAAATGCAATAGCCGCTGGGGCCTCTGCCGGCCTCAGGTCTCTCCCCACCAAAGGACTGTCCTAAAGCGCAGGTCTGATCACGTCACCCCCTGCTCAGTAAATTCCGACGGCTCCCTATTGCCTTCAGGAGCAAATACAAAATGTTCTATTTGAGGGGCAGCTAGGTGGAGCAGTGAATAGAGCTCCAGCCTTGTAGTCAGGAGGATCTGAGTTCAAATCCAGCCTCAGACAATTGACACTTACTAGCTGTGTGACCCTGGGCGAGTCACTTAACCTCGACTGCCTTACCAAAAAGCAAAAAAAAAAAGTTCTATTTGGCATTCGAAGCCCTTCCTAGCCTGCCCCCTCCCACCTTTCCAGCCTTCCCACACCTGACTTCCCTGGCACGTCCTCTCCATCCAGGTACGCTGTTCCCCTGGCTGTTTCACAAACAAGACCCCCCACCTTTCAGCTCCGGGCCTTCGCTCTGGCTGCCCCAAGTGGAGCCCTCTCCCTCCTCTGCTTTGACTACCAACCTCCCTGGCTTTCTTCAAGTCCCAACTAAAACACCACCTTTTACAGGAAGCCCTCCCCAACTCCTCTTAATTCTAGTATCTTCTCTCTATCAATTATTTCTTATTCGCCCTGTACAGAGCTTGCTGGATATATGTCTGTTTCCATGTTGATTCCCCCATTGGATGGTAAGCTCCTTCAGGTCAGGGACTGGCTTTTGCCACTCTTTTACCTCCAGTGCTTAGCACAGGGCCTGGCACACAGTAGGCGCTTAATAAATACTTGCTGACCAACTAGAGAAGCTTCCACCAGCCCTGCGCTGTAAGCAGCCCAGGGATTACATCCACTCGCACAGAGGGAGAACTGAGGCTCGGACGTGCCCGAGGTCACACAGTGAGGGGAGTGTCAGAGCTGAAAGTCAGGCCGGGCATTCAAAAGCGGGTCAGCCGGCTGCAAACTCAGGCTCTCTCCACAAGAGCGAGGGACCTGTTCCCTCCATGAGTCACGGAATGGAGAGCTCAGAGGTCATCTAGTCTTAGAGAGAGGCAGAGCCTGGCCCCACTTCACCCCTGGGGGCAGGGGCACAGCGAGCCACCCCTCGGTAATCCACCCCCAGCTTTCCCCTCTCCTGTACAAACAATCTGACCCCTGTACCTGCCTCAGCCCCCATGAGGATCCCCACTCAGAGTGCGTCCTCACCTATCACCACGTCCACGGGAAGCTGGGAAAGCAGGGTCCCTATGGGTGTGAGGTGCTCCGAGGCATCCAGAGCGCCCTGGTCCCGCAGGTAGACGATGGCCGTTTCCAGGCTGGCGGCAGGCGGGGGCTCTATGAAGGGGAAGCCGCGGGGGTCTCCGAGCCCCATACTCTTCATCTAAAGCATAGAACAAAACTCTCTCAGCAGGAGAGACCCGGGAGCCCTAGCCCAGAGGGGGCAGGACCGTGCCAAAGTCAGTGCGGGGCTCAAGCCTCAGTCTCCCAACAAGACCATCACAGAAAGCTGCTCTGGAAAGAGATGCCCCCAAGGGAACAGGAGGGGCACTGGAGGGAAACCGCCAACAACCATCCCATCCATGCGTCCTCATGATCCTTCAGGCCCCGGCAGGCTCTGGAGGGAACCCTCAGGGTACAGAGCTCCTGGGAGGGGCCCAAGGCTTCTGCCCACGAAGGTCTGGGCCAGTACCAGCACAGGCCCACACCTGGAGGGCTTGGGGCTGGGACACTGGCCTCCCTCTTCCCATGGAAAGCAGCTTCCACGAGGAATGGTGTCAGACCCCCACTGACCATGGGCCTCTGCCTAGGAGTCACCGGGAGCCACAGGCCAAAAGTGTGCTGGCAGCCCTCAGCTGCGCCCTCCCAGGGCCACACGCTCTGGGGGGAGCTCCTCAAACTACGCACTGCCTCATCCTGGGACAGCGAGCCAGGCAGCCAGTCCCCAGCTGGCAGGGCCGGGTAGCCCCCTAGCCACCAGCATCTCTAAGTGTGTGGCTCTGACACGCCCCCATCTCTGCTCCCTGGGATGCTCAGGGATGAAGAGGAAGGACCATGCCATCCCAACACAGATACAGCTGTGGAAGGCGGAAACGTACACGTGTGCACGCGGGTTTCTGGGTCGCGAGGGGGCGCCATGGGGCACAGAGCACCAGGCCTGGAGTCAGAAGGACTCATCTTAGTGGGTTCAAATCCGGCCTCAGACAACCCCAGGCAAGTCACTAAACCCTGCGTGCCTCAGTTTCCTCATCTGTAAAATGAGCTGGAGAAGGAAATGGCAAACCCCTGCAGTATCTCTGCCAAGAGAACCCCCAATGGGGTCACAGGGAGTCACACAAGCCTGACCAAACAACATGTGTGTTTCTACGCACATGTGCGTATATGCTGAAAAAATAATCACCCAGAATCATGGTATGAAAGCACATTTACTGCCACTGTATGCAGGTCAGGTTTCTTTCAATTCAAATAATGATGTTTCAGGAATCTTCGTGCGCACCAAGAGAGCAGCGATGATAAGCACGAGTACAATGAAGAGCGCCGCTGCGGCTGGACCTGGGGGAGGAGCGTGGACTCTTCACGTCCCTGCCCAGGCTCCCTACACCCCAGCCTTGTTTGTTCCCCACCCACACCATGCCATTTCCCCTCTCCACGCATTTGCGTAAGCTGTGCTCCATCCTCACTGTCACCTCCAGGGACCCTCGCTCCCTTCAAGCCCAGCTCAGCTCAGAGGATCGTAGATTTAGAGCAGGAAGGGACCGTGAGGAAACTGAGGCAGGCAGAGGGGAAATGACTGGCCCAGGGTCACACAGGTTGGAAGTGTCGAGGCAGGATCCGAACCCAGGTCCTCTTAAGCCAGAGAAGAGGCCCTGCTCATCGCTGCAGGTGGCGGCGTTCCCCTCCCAACTCCCAAAATGATGCTGGACTGAGCTGCACATACTGTGTCTCTGCTTGTCTGAGGCGCTTTACCAGACACTTTCCTCATTAGAGCCCCGGGTATAGGAAGTACAAGGAATACATCTATTCCCACTTTACTGATGAGAAAACTGAGGCTGACTGAGGTGAAGGTGATCTGCCTAGCTAGGGTCACACAGCAAGGCCATGACAGAAGGGGGATTAGAACCCAGGACTTTGGACTCAAAATTCTGCTACCAGCACCCAGGAAGGGCCCTGGCCTCCCGCTTACCTGTAGTACCAGTGCATCCAGGGCCACCCTCTGGATCTCGGGGACAGGATAGGGAGCGAAGGCGTCATAGTCGGACTCGGCGTAGAGACGGTAGCACACGCCCGGCCCCGTGCGGCCAGCGCGGCCCTTCCGCTGCTCAGCGCTGGCCCGGCTGATCCAGAACTCCTGGAGCCGCTGCAGTTTGGCCTTGGGGTCGAAGCTCATCTCCTTCACCTTCCCTGGAGGGCACAGGAGAACCTCTCAATCCACTCGCTAAAGCCGCGGCACCCACAGGGCCACCACCGTGTGCCTAGCTCTGTGCCGGGCGCCACATGAGAGGCCAGAGCCCTGGCTCCGCGTGCCAGCTCGGCCGCCGATTAACGAGGTGACCTCGGCCTAGGCTTCGTCTCATGCTCCTCCCGTGTAGAATGAGCGCACCAGATGGGACGGTCTCCAAAGGCCCCCTAGCTCTGACACTCGACGACCTGCTAATTCACAGACGGACCTCGGCCAAGACCGTCCCCTGTCTCAGCCTGTCTGAGGACCCTCGAGCCCCGAAGGTCTGTCTTCATGCTGACTTCACGTTGTGAACTTTAAAGAAAGGAGAGGTCAGCGCCGCACACTGGAGGCGGTCGAGCTGGCCTTTCTGGAAGTGGCAGGTCCTGAGCCCTGGCCTGGAGGACAGGGCAGCTAGAGAGTCAAGAGAAAGGGTTTGCCTGGCCCGGAACAGCAGGATGGCAGTGGGCCGCGACGGGCGGCGGGACGGTGACGGACGGCGGGGCGGCGGGATGAGGCCAGGATGTGGAGGGTCGATTCCCTCATTCCCCGCCCTTCTACTTGCCACCCAAATCAATCGCTCCACAAGCATTGAATGCCAGGCGTATAAAGACACAAGAAAATAGCCCCTGCCCTCGCCTGCACAGGAGGGGGCCGCACAAGCCGGCCTCTGAGGGGGAGGGGCAGGGCTGGAGCTCACCCCCGCAGCCCACACTCAGGGGTTCTGTGCGCCTCTGCCAGGGAAGCCCTCCTTCTCTCCTCTGTGATAAAGGAGCCTTTACTGCCCATTTTGTGGATGAGAAAACCAGGGCCCAGCAGCACCGGAGGGATCTGAACACGCACGTCTCTGTGCCATGCCCTGCCATGCCCATGCCCATGACCCCCAGGACCCTGTGGCTGCAGCCGAGGAAGCCCCAGCGCCCAGCCCAGGATGGCACAAAGGCGGCCCCAAAGGGGGCTGAGGGGAGCCGCCGAAGGCTCGCGAGGACACAGACGGCTCCCCTCGGCCAGGGTCACAGGACCCTGCACGTCCAGCGGCTGGCAGGAGAAGGGGGAGGCGGGGGCGCTCACCAGAATCCAGCACGAATCGGACGCCATCGATGGTGACCGAGGTCTCTGCGATGTTGGTGGACAGGATACACTTTCGTACCCCAGGAGGAGGCATGTCAAACACCTGGGGGAGGGAAGAACAAGGAGAGTGAGAGCGGGGTTGTGCTCCCGGCCTCAGGACCCGGGGGGGGACCCTCCACTGCAGCGGAGGACCTCGGTGGGGGAGAAGGGGGAGGGGATCTCCACGCTTAGCCCCTGGATCTATGTCTCCTGCTCATCAATCCCCCTAACTGAAAAGCAGCAGAGACACGGAGACAGAGACAGAGAGCAGAGAGACGGAGGTGGGGGAGCCCCAGCTTGGGGTTCCGTGAGCCATGCTCCCCCTCCACGGGCACCTTGTCCTGGTCCGCAATGGAGAGGGCGCTGTGCAGGGGGAGCACCACCCAGCGCTTGGTGTGGGCGGCGTACGGCTGGAAGGCCTCGAGCACCGCGCCGATCTCGGCCATGCCGCTGAGGAACACCAGCAGGTCGCCGCGCTCCTCTGGCGGGTACTTGTGGTCGATGGCCTGCAGCACGCGCAAGAACGGCCGCGGGTCCAACCTCTCCGCCCTGGACGTCGGCACCTCCTCCTTTGCTATGGGCTGGTAGATGACCTGGGGGAGAGAACATGGGCCCAGTCACCCCAGGGGGTGGCATCCGGGGATCCCAGGTGGGGCAGGATCAGAGAGGCCCTCCCTGTACAGACTTGGAAACTGAGGCACGGGGAGGACCAGAGATCCTGGATGCCGGCTCTTGTCTCCAGAGGGCTCCCCAACCCTGACCACGCATGGCCCGTTGGGGCCGGGGTCCCTGATTCTGATGCCAGTGCTCCCCACAACACGCCGCCTCTCCAACATTTGTCACCACTACTCAACAGGCAAGGAAACTGAGGCTCCAGAAGAAGGGACCTGACCCGTAGGGGCAGACCAGAGCCTCGAACCCAAGCCTCGTGGCCCTGCTAGGGCAGTCTCTCCTGCCACACCCGCTCTGGCAGATGACCACCTTCTCGCCACCTTTCTAAAGCCCTCGCTCTGAGGCAGCAGAGTTAGGGTATGCTAGAAATGGAGGAGCCTTAGACACCATCCTGTCCACCCATCTTACCTCTGGGGAAACTGAGGCAGAGAGCGGCGGAAGGGACTCGCTAAGAGTCCACCCCAGCCCCACGTCTGGGAGGGTGATGGCCCCCACCCTGTCATCTCAGCGTCCCCGCTATGGGCACTGACCGAGATGGGGAACAGCCTTCCGGGCACCTGCACCACGGGCGCGCAGCTGAAGTAGCTGGAGAAGAGGCTGATGTTGATGGTGGCCGACATGAGGACGAGCTTGAGGTCTGGGCGCGCAGGCAGCAGCCTCCGGAGGACGCCCAGCAGGAAGTCACTGTGCAGGTGGCGCTCGTGGACCTCGTCCACGATCAGCACCTGGTACTGGGGCAGACCCGGCTCCCGCTGGATCTGGCGCAGCAGGAGGCCCTCCGTCAGGAACACGATCCCGGTAGCCGGCGACCGCGTGCTCTCAAAGCGGATCTGGTAGCCCACCTGCAGAGGGGCAACAGTGGGAGGGGGGCCCGCACCCGAGGTTCTCGCTCCACGGTCCTCCGCAACCCCACGGCCCGCTTCATCCCAGCATCCATGCTAGGCCTCTCTGGTCACTTACTGACCTCACTCAGCGTTCTATGACGAGGGTCCTGAGAACTGGGGAAGGGTCTCAGAGACCCCCCGCCCTCGCCATCCTGGCAGGCTCACTAAAGCCACCAGCCACACCCAGGGGCTCCGGCCGGCCCGAGCCACATCCCTCTGCCCCCTTTGGCGCGGCTACCAGCAAGACGAGGCCCAGCTTCCCGACCTCTCACTGCCAGCAACAGCGAGCATCTGTCCTGGGCTGGGGGCTCTGTGAATCCTTCATCCAAGCCCCCACAGCAAGCCTGGGGCCTTCCCCCTCTTACACACAAATCAATCGGTCGATAAGCACTTATTAAGCGCCTACTATGTGCCAGGCACTGTGCTACGTGCTGCGGGCACAGAGGAAGGCAAACAGGAATCAGGCTGCCCACGCAAGCTGAGCTGGGGTAAACAGGACATCATTAACTGGGGAAGGCTTCCTGGAGGAGGGATTGTAGTTGCGCCTTGAAGGAAGCCAGGGAGGTCAGGAGTTGGGGCAGAGGAAGGGGACAGACAGCTTGAAGGGGGCAGTGACTTGCCCAGGGCCACTCAGCTAGGAAGCGTCTGAAGTAGGATTTGAACGCAGGGCTTCCTAACTGCAGTCCCGAGCTCTCTCCAGCACGCCCCCAATGCCCAGGTGTAGGAGGAAGAAGAGGATGTGGCCAGCCCTGACCCCCGGGGTTCTCCTCTCTGCAATGGCTCCCCCACACAGCCATCTGGGCTCCCTGCCCAATCTTACAGGTGAGCAAACTGAGGCTCGGGGCTCGAGCTGGCCCGTCCTGACTGACCGCTCCACCAGCCCTGTGCTTACCTGGGACCCGTACTGGTTGAGGCTCTCGAAGCCGACACGCTTGGCCAGGGAGATGCACGCGATTCTCCGTGGCTGGGTGCAGGCCACATGGCTGAAGCCGGCGGCCAGCAGGTACTGGGGCACCTGGGTGGACTTGCCACAGCCCGTGTCCCCGGCCACGACCACCACCTGGTGCTCCCTGAGCGCCTGCAGCAGGTGCCCCCTGTACCGGGCCACGGGCAGGGCCGCCCGCTCCCGCTGCAGCTTGGCCAGCTTCCCGAAAGACTGTTTCTGACCAAAGTCCAGGTAGTGTAGGACAGCCCGGCGGAACTCCGCCAGCTGGTCCCGGGGCAGCTGCCCGCGGGCCCCCAGGCCTGGCTCACCCTCGCCGCTCAGCAAGGCCAGGTTGATGCGGTAGCGGGGGTCATAGGTGGCAGGGAGGCCGGCCAGGGCCGGGCATCTGGGTCCCTCAGCCAGCTGCTTGGCTGCCGGGCCCGGCTTAGGCTTCTGGAAAGTCTGCAGGCGTTCGAAAAAGGCCCAGAACCTGCGGCAGTCCTCGGAGCCCCGGCGGATGATGTCCTGGTTCCCGAAGAAGACCTCCTCCAGGCGGCTCCGGGTCTCTGGGCAGCCCCAGTCCCACCGGCCGCGGCCCTCGGCTCGTCTGGACGAGGCCATGGCTCTGGCCCCCCGGGCCTCGGGCTCTCCCAGCCCCCCAGGCCTCAGGCTCTCCCAGTCCTATGGTCCTCGGGAGCAGGCTACCAGCCCACGGACCTCATTCCCTCTGAGAAGAGGCAGAGAAGCAGGCGCGTCCATCAGCGGCTCGGCAGGGAGGAGTCAGAGGGCTCACCACTGCTCCTTTCCTCCTCAGGGGCGACCAGAGGGCTCTACCCTCTCTCTGCCGCACAGCAGCCCGCTGGAGCCGGGCTGTGTCTGTCCTCCGACGGTGGGGCCAGCGGGCTTTGGGAACGGACCAGGGTCACCTGGGCCAGGGAATGCCTGCTGGGGTAAAAAGTCACCTTACAACCAGAACCCATCTAAGACTCGTCTTAGCCTAGGACATCCCCCTAGAAAAGCCCTGGACCCTCCCTCCCTGGCCCTCACTGAGAGGGCCTCCTAACCAGGCCTTTTACAAACAAATCTCACGGAATCCTCACACCCTCCCTGGGAGGCAGGGGCTGTAAGCATTCCCATTTCTCGGATGAGGAAACTGAGGCAGACAGAGGTGGCTCGATCCGCTGGCAGCCCCGGCCGGCTCTGCCTTAACAAGTGTGGGAGCAGTGACTGGGGCAGGGCCTCTTCCCATCCCACGGCCCCCAATTCTGCCCTGTGGTGTCAGAAAGAGTGCATCCACATGATGCTGCTTCAGCCATTGGAAGGCAGCCTATCAAGAGTCCCATCCAGGTGCACTTATTAAGCGCTTACTGTATGCCAAGCAGCGCCCAACTGTCCCCCCCCCCAAGTCCCTGGCTGCAGGGAGACGCTGAGGGAGCGAAGCGTCCTCCGCTGTGGTTCCCTACGGAGGCCACTAGGGGGTGCCCGCTGAGCACAAATCCGGCCTCAGCCCCGGGAGCCTGGGCCAGGTACTGCGCCTGTCTGCCTCAGTTTCCTCCTCCATAGGGGGAATAAGCCTACATTTAATATATTCACGTGGGGTTTATTACGGGTGCTTTCTAGAAACCTCGGCTCCGATCCTCACAACCACCCCGGGAGGTAGGGGCTGCTGTTATCCCCATTTTACAGATGAACAAACTGAGGTTACGTGACTTGCCCAGGGTCACACGCTAGCTAGTGCCTCGGGGCTGGATTTGAACTCGGGTGTTCTTAGCCCCAGCCACCCGGGGAGGGGTCACAATAACCCCCACCCCGCAGGGTCATGGGGGATCAAAGCTCCCAGCGCTCCACGATGCTGCCTCGGCCCCGGTGCTATCTGCCAGTCAGTAAGCATACTAAGGATACGGGAGGGCAGACGGTGTGGTCCAATGGCAAGGGCACTGACTCTGGGGCCGGGGGATCTGGGTTCCAATCCCGCCCCCGGCCCTCGGGGCCTGTGGAACCTCGGGCAGGACGCCTCCCCTCCCCCGGCCTCAGTCTCCCCCTCTGTAAAAGAGGAGCATGGGGGCCTCTCGGCTGCGTCCTATACTTACTTCCTAGGCCGCCACGTCCTGGTCCAGGTGGGGAAACTGAGGCTCGGGGAGGACCGGACCCCCGCGGCCCCCACGCAGGCTCCGAGCCTCAGTTTCCCCTTCCGGACGATGGGGGCCGGAAACGCGCCTGGCCCCCTCCCCCAGCGGCGCGGCCCCGCTCCGGGTGAGCACCGGTGATCCTCGAGGAAGAGTCAGGGCCCGGGGGCACCCCGACCCTGCTGAGGACCCCGACCCCGCCCGCCCTCACCTCTCCAACCAGCCCTTACGCTGCCACTTCCGGGCCACGCGCGCCACCTGCCTTACTGCGCCTGCGCGCGCCGCCCGGCCCCGCCCCCGCCGAGCGCCTGGAAATAGGAGGAGCCGCGCGCTCCGGGGGCGGGGCCAGCGGGGAGCGGAGGGGAGGAGCCAAGCATGGCCCGCCCCGGTAGCTGCAAGCCCGGGAGTCGGCCAGACCTGAGTTGTGGTGGAACGTCCCTGGCTCAAGCGACTGTGACCCTGGGCAAGTCCTCCTAAAATGCGGTTGGCCTGGGGATCGATTGAGATAGCATTTGTAAAGAGCTTTGCAAACTTTAGGGTACCCTGTAAGTGCTAGGTAATAATAAAAAATTTAGCAATAAGCTTCTGAGAGGAGTTTACATTCACTCAATCAATCAACATTTATTAAGCACCTATTATGTGCCAGCCGCTGCGCTTGGGATACAAAAAGAAGTAAGACAGTCCCAGCCCTCCAAGAGCTCACAATCTAATGAGCTTAATAAATGCTTAATAAATAATAAATGCTGATTGATTGATAGCTTGGAAGGGTCCTCATCACAAGATGTCAGAGCTGTGTCCCTGTCTCCCAACCCCGCCCCCGCCATGCCTAAAATACTCTCTCTCCTCAACTCCACCTCCTGGCTTCCTTCAAGTCCCAGTTAACACCCCACCCTCTACAGGAAGCCTTCCCTGATTACCCCTTAATGCTAGCGTCTTCCCTGGGTTGTTGGTTGCACGTATATAGCTTGTTTGTATATAGGTGTTTGCATGCTGTCTCCTCCATTAGGCTGTAAGCACCTTGAGGGCAGGGACTGTCTTTTGCCTTTCTTTGCATCCTCTAGTACTCAGTAGGAGCTAAATAAATGTCCTTTTTTTTTTTAACTGATATAATGTCGGGCTGACTCCTCTGGATGTCTCTGTACCTGAGTGGGTGGGGAGGGAGGGAGTAGCCAGGTGCTGAGGGGGAAGGAAGAGATGAGAAGGGTGATAGGTGGGGTCTGGAGAAAAGGAAAAAGGATGGTGCCACTCCAGGTCCACCTTCTTCAAAAGAAGTCTTTATTTTTAAAACCAATTGCAAGAGACAGGTGTGAAACTTATTTTTCTTTCTACTGCCAAAATGTTTATAGATCTTGTGGTTTTGTAAATTAGGAGGCAACCACCTCATTGTACTTAGTTTTATAACAAAGTTATGAAGCAGAATCCCTGAAGGCTGTGAGACACACCAGTTCTAGAACCTGCATGTTCATACTGGTGTGAATTCTATGCCTTGAAAGGGTGTCTCAGAAGCATCCTTGCCCATCATTCCATTAGGAAGGCGATATCTCCAAGGCAGAGAATTCATGCCAGTATGAACATGCAGGTTCTAAAATTGGTGTCTAATGTATGTATGTGTGTATATATGTATAATATATATTTGTGTGTATAATTATATGTATAGATATATAATGATTTTGTACTTTGGCAGATTAGTCTAGATTTGGACAGAGTAGTCTGTATTTCTTCATAATCATATTGCTATATAATTTGCCAATAGGATATAAAAATTTGGAGTTATGATCTTTGAGATTTCTTTGTTTTTTAAGCATTCAATTTAAAATGCTTAGCTACTATCTATACAAACGCACTAAAGTTTTGTGCTTACCGCTTTCTACCCTAAAACATCTGGTTTCTTTCCAAGACTAGAATTTGTGTATAATGTGGAATAAACATTCACAATTACCTTTAAAAAATGGCAAAAGAAGTCTTCTCCCAGACTACTCTGCAGGAGCCCTGTGCAGGCTCCCGCCGCTGCTTGGGTACTTCTCCCCTTTGACCTCCCTTTTGTCTTCATTAGAATGTAAACTCCTTGAGGTCAGGGAAGGTAGTTTTTCCTTTCTCTGTGTTAAACTTTTAGTACAATGCCTGGCATGTTATCATTCAGTCATTTATCAGTGTTTGACTCTTCATAATCCCATTTGAGGTTTTCTTGGCAAAGATACTGGAGTGATTGACCATTTCCTTCTCCAGCTCATTTCACAGATGAGGAACAGAGAGAAACAGTGTTAAGGGACTTGCCCAGGGTCACACAGCTAGTAAGTGTCTGAGAGTGGATTTGAATTTAGGAAGATGTGTCTTCCTGACTCCAGGCCCAGCCCTCTATGCACTATGGCGCCACCTAGCTGCCATCTGGCACATAATCGATGCTTTGGACCGATTGACGCTCCATCTATCTAGGAAGAAGGAAACCCATGGGGTGTGGAAAGGTCTCGCTCTTGGGAAACTCATCATCTAGTAGGGGCCAAGAGACATTCGGTCAGTCATTCAACAAACTTTTATTGGCAGCTACTTTTTGGAAGGCCAAGAGCTCTCCATTGGTGGGTGAGAGACAAAGTGAATGTGAGCTCATTGGGGGGAACTGTATGTGGTTTGTTTTCATATCAACAGTGCTTACCACAGTACCTGGTATTAAGTAGCTACTTAATAAATGCTTGCTAATTTAATTAAGTGTCACTTGAGTTTGGGCAATTCTCTAAGACTATAAATTGAACGGAAGATGCCAGCCTATATTGGTAGAGGAAGTTCCCTCTATCAATGAAATCCCAGGTACAGTCCCTGTCTTTCCAGGCTTCTTACGCCTTACACCTTCGCATACCAACTTCACAGTCTTCATCCAGTGACCCTGGCTTCGGGCCCTTCTTCCAACACATTACTCCATCTTCTGACTCCTAGTGTTTTCAGTGGCTACTTGGAATTCTCTCCCTCCTCATCTCCACCTCCTGGCTTCCCAGGGGTAAGACAGAGAGCCAGGTGCTTCATTAGAATCAAAGGATTTTAAGATTTGGATTGGGAAGGGATCACTAGACCAAACCCCTTTATTTAATGTTTTAAAATTAGATCTTTCATTGAAAATTTAGTATTGAACATCAGTGCAATCATGTGGACTTGTTTAGTAACCATTCACAGTTAACTTAAATTCAATGACTAAAATATTACATAATGAGTGGATTGGCTAAAGAGAATCTAGTGCTTAGAGCAGGTTCAATATCGCCTGCCTAATACAAACTCACATGGAGGCATGGTGGGCTTGCTTCGAGGTATGGACATGGTTGGGGCCCTTTCCCATACTTTAAAGAACAAAAAGAAAGTAAGAGAATAAGCATTTATATAGTGCCTACTAGGGGGATTCCGGGAGGGTGGCGGTGTAGGTCAGAACACTTTTGGCTTCCCAAATTTCCTCCACAAAAAAAAAGACAGAACATCACCCCAGGGTGAACGTAGAGCAGCAGAAATAAACAGGGGTAGGGTAAAGCAGTCGTCCCCCTAAGACAACCTAAGAAGACCCCACGAAAGACCGGACCTCCTGGGACTGAGTTTTGGGACTCAGCACCTCCAGGTGACTCAGGGATCAGTAGGCCCTGGGGGCAGCCGGGGTTGGGAGGCAGCCTCGGCCTCCTCCGGCACTTTCACCGACTGTGTGAGGGTCTGAAGGCTGAGTAGGAGAAGACTGAAGGACTTTCCACTGCCTGGGGACACCAAGCACAACTTCGCTGACCAGACGAGGTCCTGGGTGGAGGCTGTGGGGAGAGGGAGCTAACACACCCCTGGTGAGGGCAGTAGCAGAGGGGCTGGGACCCTGCTGGCTGAGGGCATTTGCAGGAGAGCAGAGCTTCTGGTTTCGGTTCCGGAGCAGAGAAGACAGCTGTAGTTTGCAGCCGCTGGAGCAACATTGTAGGACAAAGTAGCTGGGGGCCCTAGTCGTGGCTTAGGGGTGGAGAAGAGACCCCAAGGTTGGGCCCTGGGACAGACCTCAGAAAATAACAGTAAGGAGGACCCCAGGCTTGGGGCATCATTCCCTACACTTTGGGACCCAACCTTGATTACACTAGTAGTTGCTAAAAACAAAATAAAAATAAAAATGAGTAAACAAAGGAGAAAGAACTCAACCATGGAGAGTCACTACGGAGACAGAAAAGATCTGGATTCATATTCAGAGGAAGATGGTGAAGCTAAAAAAGCCACTCCTTTATCAATAAGAGATGTCAAATGGTCCCAAGCCCAAAAAGAGCTCTTCAAAGAACTTAAAAAGGACTTTAAAAAGTCAAATAAAAGAGATTGAGGAAAAAATAGAAAAAAAAAATAGCTGTCCAAGAAAATCAAGAAAATTACAAAAAAAAAAAAATCAGCCAACTGGAAATAGAGAATCAAAAACTTAAGGAAGAAAATAATTCCTTGAAAGCTAGAATTGGACAAGGAGAAGCTAACAATATTATAAGACACCAAGAAATAATAAAACGAAATCAAAAGAATGAAAAAATAGAAGAGAATGTGAAATATCTTATCAGAAAAACTACCGATCTAGAGAACAGATCGAAGACAAATCATATAAAAATAATCAGACTGCCTGAAAATTATGATTAAAAAAAGAATCTTGATACAATATTGCAAGAAATTACCAAGGAAAAGTGCCCTGAAGTTCTAGAACAAGAAGGTAAAGCAGAAATAGTGACTCAAAAAGGTCAAATTGTTTACTTCTTATATGTGAAAATGTTATCAGTACTCTGATGACTGTCATCGTTATCTGGGTAGTTTGGAAGAAAAGCTTGGGCTGAGCCATGTATGATGGGATAATTCATTAAAAAAATAAAATAACACTGTGTAGGAAGAGATAAAAAGGAGTAATTATCTCATTCCAATGAGGCACAAAAGGAAGAACTGATACAGAAGAAGCAAGTTCGGGAGAGCCGGTAGTGCTGGAACCTTATTCTCATTGAAAATGGGTTGAAAGGGCAGCTAGGTGGTGCAGTGGATAGAGCTGGAGTCAGGAGGACCTAAGTTCAAATCCAGCCTTAGACACTTGACATTTACTAGCTGTGTGACCCTGGGCAAGTCACTTAACCCCGTTGCCTAGCCAAAAAAAAAAAAAAAGAGAGAGAAAAGAAAATGGGTTAAAGAAGGAACATATATATCTAGAAGGGTATAAAAGTCTTCTAAATTTAGAAAGAAATAAGGGCAAGGTGGGGGGAAAGTATAAGAGGGACCCTTATAAGGGTAGGTAGGTTAAGGACTAGGAGGGCAAGGTAGCAGTAGAAGTAAATTAAAGGAGTGAGGAGGGATAGAGTAAATAGGGTGAGAAGGATAGTAAGGAAAAATAGGAAGGAGGGAAATACATAGCAAGTAATTATAGCTTAGAATGTGAATGGGATGAATTTACCCATAAAATGGAAACAAATAGCAGATTAAGATTTTGAATTCAACAATATGTTGTTTTCAGGAAACACAATAAAAATAAGGGATACACACAAAGATAGAATAAAAGGCTGGAGTAGAATATATTATGTAAAAAAAAGCAGGGGGAGTAATCATGATATCAGACAAAGTTAAAGCTAAAATAAATATAAGCAAAAGAGAAAAGTAGGGAAATTACACTACGTGTCACCAATATTATCCAATATTGTTTTAGACTATTTAAAATAAGTAGATAGTATTAAATAACCATATAAAGTAAAATGAAATAAAATAATATAACTGAGAGTATACATGCCAAAACAGACACAGGAATTATACAAACATAAACATAAAACACTTTTTATACAAATAAAATCAGATCCAAAATAATTGGAGTAATATTTATTGTTCATGGGTAGGTAAAGCCAATATAATAAAAAAATGACAATTTTACCTAACTAATCTATTCAATGTCATATCAATTAAATTATTTTTTAAAAAAGTATAAAAGTATCTTACTGAATTAGAAAAAAAAATAACAAAATTCAGTTGGAAGAACAAAAGGTTAGGAATTTCAAGGAAACCGGGGAAAAAAGATGTAAAGGAAGGAGAATCAGCAGTATCAGACATTAAACTATATTATAAGGTGAGAACATGGTTGAAGTATAAAATGGATAATTTCAATTATTTTAAATTAAAATTTTCTTGTGTAAATAAAACCAATAGAGCCAAGAATAGAAGGAATGCAGAAAACTGGGGAAAAAAACTTTCATAGACAATCTCTCAGATAAGATGTAATTGTTTTGACATACTGCTGTGGTGTAGGAAATGATGAGCTGGTTGATTTAGAAAAAAAAACACAGAAAGACTTGGATTTATGAAGAAAGATGCTAAACACCTCTGGAGGAAGAGATGATAAGTGGAAATATGCATAGTACAATCTTACATATATGTGTAAGATATATAGACATAGATACACACAGACATAGATATGTAGATATTTGCTTTTAATTGTAGTTTTCTTGGGGAGGGAAGGGGAAAAAATGAAGTAAAAAATATACAGAAGAGGACAAAAGAAAACCTAGAAGGAAACAAAGAAAAGCTGGGTAGTTTTGGAAACAATGTGTGGTATTTATTATATAGGTTTTCTTGAAATGGAAATGTATTGTTTTGTATTGAATTCTCTGTTATGTTCTGCTGTGTACATGGAAATAATCTTTTTTGCTTTGTATTTAAGTTTAAAATGAATAAAATATATATATTTATAATGCCTACTACACATCAGGCACTTTTCTTTTATAAATATTACTTCATTTGATCCTCACTACAACCCTGGGAAGTACTCTTATTATCCCCATCTTACAGTTGAGAAAACTGAGACAAACAAAAGATAGGTGACTTGCCCAGGGTCACACAGCTAGTGTAAGTATCTGAGGCCAAATTTGAACTCAGGTCCTTCCTGACTCCAAGCTCAGCACTCTATTCACTGTTCCATCTAGTCGCGTACAGGCACTTTGAGATGGAGAGAAGGGAAAGGGATGTGGTTGTGCTTCAGTCCTTGCTTCTAGTAAATATCCTTTGTAAAAGCTAACTGATGTTAATTGGTTAATTGATATTGGGGAGATATCCACCAGTTACATGATAGTAAGAGGGACACACCTGATGGGGGCTCGTGAGCAACCTTCTTAGAAGCCACAACCCTTCAAGATTACCTATGCCTAGAAACAGGAAAGGAGAAGTGGTAGCGCCTCGCTGGGGACCTGCCCTCCTAGTCCAGTTTGAGGTGAGAAAGTAAGCCCATAGCTATGCAGAGCATCCATAACTTTTTTGGTTGTTCTTTCCATTTCGATCACTAGCTACCTTCTCCCCACCCCCTCCCAGAAGGTTCATTTCATTATGGCTTTTGAAGTCATCATTGGTCCCTGCTTTGGTCAGATTTCTGAGGTCCTTCAGAGCTATCTGCCCTCGAACAGTTCTGGGCAGTATGCAATTTGCTGTCCTGACTCCGACCACTTCACTCTGCCTCAGTTTAGATGTTACTCTCCATATTTCTCTGAATCTGGCATATTCCTCATTTCTTATAGTGCAATGAAGTCCCGTTGTATCCCTGCAGCGTGACTGGTTCAGCCATTCCCCAATTGACAGTGCCCAGTTTGTTACCAGTTCTTTGTTACAACAAAAATTGCTAACATACAGAAATATTTGTGTTTTTGTATATGGGGGTCCTTTCCCTCTGTCCTTGACCTCATTGGGTATGTGCAGCTTGGTAACTTTCTGCAGACCCCTCATTTTATAGATGGGGAAACTGAGAGGTGATGGGAACTTACCCAAGGTCACTAACTTAATGAGCAGTAGAGCACCTCCTTAATCTAGACCATCTCTGAGACCATCCCTTCGCTAGTAGACTTGCTCCTTGTGGACCCAGCAGCATCCTTCTCCTCCGTGTCCTCACCCAGAGCCAGGCGGCAGGCAGCCCAGAGCGACCTCTGGAGCCGAGCCCGGCCTACGAGCAGGAATAGGGTGGGGTTGAGACAGCTATTGGCCAAGGCTAAGCCTATAACGAGGGTCTCAGCCTGGAGAGCACTGACCAGGAGCTCTGAGTGAGGGGCCGCAGCAGCTATCACCAGACCCACCACGTGGTAAGGTGCCCAGCAGAGGAAAAAGCCAACCACAACCAGGGTCAACAGCCGCAGGATGCGGGGCTTCGGCTGCCCTCTCAGGTGAACCAGCAGGGCTCCGTGGCATCCAGCCACAACGCCCAATGGCCCAAGAAAGCCGCCAACGAAACGGATGCCAGCTACCGCCCCCTCAACCCCGCGGGACCCCCCGTAGTCCACCACGCACTCGTAGCGCTCTGGGAAGTATTCCTGGTGAAGTCGTCGGGTCAGCACCGAGGGGAGAGTGAGCAGTAGCGCCAGCGCCCAGGCGACTCCGCAGCCCGCCCACGCCGGCCACAGACGGTCCCGGGCCCTGCTCGGCCGAAGCACAGCCAGACATCGGCCAATGCTGGCACCGGCCAAGAGCAAGACGCTGGCGTACATGTTGAGCAGAATGACTGAGGGCAGAAGGCGGCAGGCGGCCGAGCCGAAGGGCCAGTCACCTTGACGGATGATTGGCACAGCCATCAGGGGCAGGAGCAGGCAGCAGAGCAGGTCAGCCAAGGCTAAGTGCAAGAACCAGATGGAGGGGGCTGACCGTCGTGCTGTGGCCCAGGTCACCCAGACCACAATCGCATTTCCCGGCACCCCCACTAGGAAAACTGCGGCATAGAGAAGCAGGGGAGAGATCCGAAGAGGATCCACCGACACACACGAGCCCCCTGGCTCACAGTCTATGCGCACGTCAGAACCCAGGCTGTAATCCTCGTAATCGTAGCTAATAGAGGAATTCTCCATTTCAGTCCTGTGCACAGCATCCAAGGGGCCCTGGGAAAGAAGATGAAAACCATGCCAACTCTAGCAACTAAGACACAGGACTGCATTGGGAATCTGCTAGAATCAGAGAATCTCAGATTTAGATAGACCTTAGAGGTCGCCTGATCTAATTACCTCTGTGATAGATGATTTCCCTCTGAATCATCCCTATGAAGGTCCCTCTGGCCTTGGATGAAGACACAGAAGATGAACGCTTTTGTGATACTGGGAGGAAGAGCTCAAAGATTGGGTGAAAGAAACTGAGAGCTACAGACCGGTGCCACCGGGATGGCTCTCTCGGAGACTGTCTCCATTTTACAGAGGGAAAAGCTGGAGTCTGATAAAGAGAAAGGGACTTCTCCAAGATCATTCAGGCACAGAACCAGAATCCCAAAAAATCTTACTGAGCCGGGGAGACCAAGATGAAACGTAGCCAAGGAGGTAGTACCTAAGGAACACTGGGTTTGGAAACAGAGAACGGGGCCTAGAGTCTGTCCCTGAATGTGAAACCTGTTCTTGGGTTCCCAGGGTAGGATAGTGGAGATGTGTCTAGACAGCCATTGTGTGAAAAAGACCTGCGAGTCTGAGTGGCGCCATAACTTTGATGGGCACAACCAGGGTGCTGACATAAGCCAAAAGGCTAGTGTAATCCTGGGTTGCCTTAGTTGAGAGAGAGTTTCAATCTGAGAGGACTCGTGATGAAGCATCCTACCCACCTCCTGATGGAGAGGTGATGGATTCAGGATGAAGGGCTGGTCAGGCACAGATAGATTTGGAAACGTGAATGGGGGGGAAATTTGTCCTGGATGATCATGCATGTTGGCATAACAGGTTTTGTTTTCTTGCTTTCTCAATGAGGAGTGGGGTGGAGGGGGAGGGGAAAAATGAAGATCTGAAAATCAAATCAAATCAAATTTTAAAAAATAGCAATAAGGCATCCAAAGAGAGGGAGCTATTAGTTCCACTGGGAAGGTCAGGGTCTACCTGAAGAATTGTGTTTAGTTCTGGGTACCACACTTGAGGAAAGACAATCTGGGATGCCCCCAGATGAGTGAGACCAGGATGGAGATAGTAGGACCATAGAACGAAAGCCAGAAGGAACCTCACAGATCATCCGGGCCAGGGGTGTGGCCACATGTGGCCCTCTAGGTCCTCAAGTGCTGGCCCTCACTTAAAGATCTGGAGGGCCACATGCGCAGGTTCCCCACCCCTGATCTGGGCCAACGCCTCATTTTATAATTCAGTATCTCTTCTTCTAGTGCCCCTCCCAATTCTAACATTCCCTGTTCCAAGGCCCCTCCCAGCTCTGACATCCCCTGTTCTAAGGCCCTCCCAGCTCTGACATCCCATGTTCCAAGGCCCTTCCAGCTCTGACATCCCCTGTTCTAAGGCCCTCCCAGCTCTGACATCCCCTGTTCCAAGGCCCCTACCAGCTCTGACATCCCCTGTTCCAAGGCCCCTCCCAGCTCTGACATCCCCTGTTCCAAGGCCCCTCCAAGCTCTGACATCCCCTGTTCTAAGGCCCTCCCAGCTCTGACATCCCCTGTTCTAAGGCCCTCCCAGTTCTGACATCCCCTGTTCCAAGGCCCCTATCAGCTCTGACATCCCCTGTTCCAAGGCCCCTCCCAGCTCTGACATCCCATGTTCCAAGGCCCCTCCCATCTCTGACATCCCCTGTTCTAAGGCCCTCCCAGCTCTGACATCCCCTGTTCTAAGGCCCTCCCAGCTCTGACATCCCATGTTCCAAGGCCCCTCCCAGCTCTGACATCCCCTGTTCTAAGGCCCTACCAGCTCTGACATCCCATGTTCCAAGGCCTCTCCCAGCTCTGACATTCCCCTTTCTAATGTCCTGCCCCCAGTTCGGACATCCCATGTTCTAGGACTTCTCCCAACTCTTACCTTTCACACTGCAGTTATGTTGAAGGCACTGGGGATACTCATCCAGGACGAATGTCTGCTTGAGCCCTGCACATTTCTTCAGCTATCTGAAGGGCCATCATAGGGGGGAAGTCATAGTTAGTTCAAGTCCCCCACTTTCAGACAAGGCAGAACTGCCTGGCAGTCAGAGCAGGCTCCCCCAAGGAAGAGCTAAGGACTTGCTGCCCAGTTGGACAGAGAGTTCTCCATTCTAGGGGGTTTGCTAGTTAGATGTCAGTTTGGGGCTGGGGCTGGGGCTATTCCTGGGCTAAGGGGCCCCAAACGCAAATGACAGCTGTCCCTTCAGTGGGACAACAGGAAAAATTTGGGCAGAAGGTGGGGCACAGAGGGGGAGAAGAGGAAGTCCAGGGAGATTTCAACACCCCATTTCCCTTACCCCTCCCCGTTACCCCACACTGTAAGACCAGATCAGCCTTACCACCTCTCTCACGCGTGGAATCGTCACAAAGGCGCTGGGCGTTGGAGGGGAGCAGGGCTGCTCTGCTCTCGGCACCCTCTGGGATGCTGAGTCTGCACACGCTCATTGCCACACTCTCCACCCCATGGGAAGGGCTGTGAAAGGAGAACACATACAGACCAGTGCCAGGCAGGGTGTGGTGGCCTCTTTGCTTCCTCATGAGTCACCACTCCTCTAACCTCTGGAGGACGGGATAAGGGCTTGGGAGGCAGCCAGGACGGGCAAAGCCATCAGGCAGATTCAGAGCCCTTGCCTCCCAGGCCTGCCCACCCTGGTCTCAGACCCTGATCAACCCCTCGGCTTGGCATGGGAAGCCTCCACAGCCCGGGCCCAGGGAGTCTCTCTCCTTTGACTCTGGCCTTTCCCCTCTCCAGGGCTCAGCTGGAATTGTCACCTTTGGGGTTGGGTCCAGGACCCTCTCCCCTGACACTCACCAGATTCCATATTTGCCTGGGATCTCACTAGGCCTAGAGGTGAATCTTGGGCCCTCTCCTTTTCCCTTTCTGCCCAGGACTCAAAGAGGGCTGCTTTCTCTGTATCTGCCTCAAAAGCCCTCCCATCACCCAGTGCCTGCTCCCACTCAGAGATCCTCTGACTCAGACTTTCAGGGCCCTGGTAGAACCTTTACCAGGCACAGTTTGTCCAAGGCTTATCTCCCCAAGGACAGAAACCAAGTTTATCAAGCCCTGTATTCCCCATGATCCTGGCTCATGGAATGTTTGTTGAATGAAGAATGATAGCTTGGCCCTATGCCTCTTTGGCTGTGCCCACAGCTTCACATGTGACCTTGGGAAAGTGTCTCCCCTCCTCTAGACCTCAGGTTACAGCCCTATAAAAACACAAGTGGGGTGCTTAGCTAAGAGCACTCCCACATTCACCGAATCACAGAATTTTAGAGTTAGATGGGCCCTGAAAGGAATTCCTCCACTGGAACGTCCTGCCAAATATCCATCCATCACCTGCTCCATCTCTAGAGGCAGCCCATTCCACTTGGGGACATATCTAACCCCTTAGTTTTTCCTGACACCAAGCATATACTTCTTTCTTGCTGCTGGTTCTGAGGTCAACTTTGGCATTCTAGGTTATGTGCGGCTGGGTTTCTTAACTTGGACCCTGTGGGTGGATTTCAGGGGGCTTCTGAAATTTGATGGGGAAAAAAAATCATATATTTATTTTTACTCACCTCAAACTGAAATTGAGCATTTCCATCACTAATGAATTAAAAAAAACAATTCTGAGGAGGGATCCATTGATCACACCAGACTTCCAAAGGGGTACTTGGCACAAAAAAGGATTAGGCACCCTATTATAAGGCCCCTTCTGGCTCTGACATAGAACCTTGTGAAAGTCAGTACTTAACATGTTGACTGCATTAGACTGGAGACCCTCGGGCTTCAGGGGAAGAATCAAGTGCAAAATGTGGGAGTTGGGTTACAGCAGACCTGAATTCAAAGCCCAGCCCTACCCTCTACTACCCATGTGACCCTGGACAATCAGGGTCCTCCAAAAAATAAAGGGATTGGAGCAGATGGCCCCCTGAGGCCCCTCCTCCTTTACAACCGTGATCCTGTGAATCAAATGTTCTAGGTTCTTCTAAAAGCCTATGTCTTATTTCGACGGCCCTTGACCATCCCAAAGTCTTAGCATTCTTAGGGTGTCCCCAGGTGCTTTCTTTGCCCCTTCCCTAAAGGCTTTCTGGGCCAAGATGGGAGGCTGGAGATGGGAAAGAGTGAACACTCAGGACCTTAAAAGGCAAGAGAAAGGATAATCCTCATGGCCCAGGAATTGAGGCAAGAATGAGGGACAAAGGGCCGCTAGATGGTGCAGTGGATAGAGCATCGGCCATGAAGTCAAGAGGATCTGAGTTCGGATCCGGCCTCAGACCAAACACTTGACACCTACTAGCTGTGTGACCCTGGGCAAGTCACTTGACCCCAACTGCCTAAAAAAAAAAAAAGAATGGGGGAACAAAAAGAGGTAGGCAGATGGACAGACTTGGTGCCGATCAAGCAAAGCCTGAGACAGAGACCCTCTGCTCCAAGTTCTCCCAGCCTGCTAGGGGAAGACCCCCATAAGAGGACAGGATCCCAGAAATGGAGCCTGACAGCCCCATTATCTGGCTAACTCGTTTTGAACTTACAAGTCCACTAAGACACCCTCCTCCTCTTCTTTTCAAATATATCATTGTCTAACTGGGCCTGCTCCATAAGATGAATTTGAATCGCTGAATGTCTCATCTCTGGTGAGAGAAAGGAGAGATAAGCAGAGTGGTGGGGAGAGAACAGGGACGAGGAGGTTAATCCAGAAAGGCTTTTTGTAGGAGGCAGCTGAGGAGTGGAGGGGGCAAAAATCTGGGGATGGGAGGAGGGAAGTTCGGGAGCTGGAACTAACTTCCCTTTCTTGAAAAGCCCCCACCCGGTCCCATCCCACCCTACCCTGCACCCTGCCCCACCCCAGTCACTTCTATTTTCTTAAGGCACCGGTACAGCAAAATGAAATTTGTGACACCGTGATTCAGCTGGAGATGAGTTTGACTGTTGGCATGTCAGGAGACCCCACCAGGGCAGATTCCCTGAGGGATCTGGGCGGGGGAAGCACCCTTGTACATCCAAACCCTGCAGGAACAGAATCCACCTGTACTCCCATTCAATTCCAGCCAAAGGATTTATTGAAACAAAGTGGCAGAGTCAAGAGCTGGGGGGGGGGGGGGTGCAATCTGGGAGGATTTCCTGGAGAATGAGGGCAAGAGGACAGCAGAGAAGCTCAGAGTGGTTCCCCCGGCGGTGGAGGACATTCAGAGAAGGCCTCCAAGAGGGGCTGGGGGCTGGCAAGGCGGCCATGGAGGATTCTCTGAGGAGAGATGGGAGCCCAATTTATTAATCCCCTGAGTCAGGCACTGATGGTCCAAAGAAAGACAAAAACAGTTTCTGCCCTGGAGAAGTTCCGAATCTAGCTGGAGGCTAGGGGAGGGAGCTGTCCACAGGCTAAGCCTGAGAGAGGGCCCTTCACGCATCTCTGCTCCCTCAGCCTCACAGCTGCTCCTCAGGGACCACGGTCGATGCCATCGTGGAGCGGCTAAAGGATTTGCTGTCTCGCCCAACAGAATCCTCTATCAGCGCTCTCCGGAGGCTGGTGCAAATGAAGTAGCTTGTCATGCGGTCCTTTACGCCGTGGCCAGCAACCACGTAGATGATGGGGTTGATGCAGCTGTTAACATAAGTCAGCGCAATGGTTAAGCTGTCTATCCTCTTTGCCCAGGAGTAGACGACGGAGCGTGGATCGCTCGCGGCCTCCAGGAGGCCCACAATCTGATAGGGGGTCCAGCAGATGAAGAAGCCGGCCACCACAGCCAGAACCACCTTGACGGTCTTGAGGGAGCGGGTGGCCTGGCGGCTCCACAGACGATTCAGCAGGAGGTAGTAGCACAAGGAGATGATGATGAGAGGACCCAGGAAGCTAAGCAGAAAGCGAGAGACGGCCACGCTTAACTCGACTGTTTTCGACTCGTAATGCACCACACAATGCCAGCTGGGAGGGAAGGGCTCCTCCTTCAGCAGGCGGTATATCAGGGAAGGGATGGTCAGCACCAGGGCCAGTGTCCAGGCCAAGAAGCAGGCCGCCGCGGCGATGAGCACGCTGCGGTGGTTCTGGCACCAGATGGGCTTCATGACCAGCATGCAGCGGTCGATGCTGATGGCCGTGAGCAGCAGGACGCTGGCGTACATGTTGAGCAGGATGACGGAAGGCAGGAAGCGGCACGCGGCTTCGGTGAAGGGCCAGTCGTCGTGCCTGATGATGGGCACGGCCAAGAGCGGGAGCACCAGGCAGCAGAGCAGGTCGGCCACGGCCAGGTTCAGGAACCAGACGCCGTTGACCATCTTGCGGGCCTCGATCCCGGTCACCCAGACCACCATTGCATTGCCTGGCACGCCCACCAGGAAGACCACGGAAAAGACCACGAAGGAGATGATCTCCGAAGCTGAATATTCCCTGGCCCCGTCCACGGGGGAATCTTCAGACCAGTAATAATCTGCGTAGTCTCTGACTGTGGGACCCACAGTGCCTGGTAGGGACCAAACGTGGAACACGAGGCCATTAGTAAGAATATCTAGCACCACCTGGGGATTGCTCAGTCGTTTTTCAGTCGTGTCCGACTCTCCATGACCCCATTTGGGGTTTTCTTGGCAGAGATACTGGAGTGGTTTGCAATTTCCTTCTCCGGCTCTTTTTACAAATGAGGAAACTGAGGCAAGCAGGGTGAAGTGACTTGCCCAGAGTCACACAGCTAGTCAGTTTCTGAGGCCAAATTTGAACTCAGGAAAGATGAGTCTTCCAGATTCCAGGCAGGGCGCTCTATGCACTATGGCGCCCCCTAGCTGCCCCATATAGAACCTTCAAGGGCTTTCAATCTGGTATCTGAGCCTCATAACAATCTTCTGAAGTCTGACAGATGGGGAAACTGAGGCTGGGAGGGACTCATTTCTTTATGTTCATAAAACTAGTGAGTGATTATACAGGCTTCAAACCCAGTTCTTCTCCCTGGAATCAGGGGTTCTTAACCTGGGAGTCTGTGAACTTTTTTTTTTTAAATATTGATAACTATATTTCAATATAATTGGTTTCCTTGGCAATCCTACGTGTTCTGTTTTAGGGCAGGTAGGTAGCACATTAGATAGAGCGCTAGACCTGGAGTTAGGAAGACCTGAGTTCAAATCTGGCCTCAGACACTTACTGGCTGTGTAATCCTGGGCAAGTCACTTCACCCTGTTTGCCTCAGTTTCCTCATCTGTAAAAAGAGCTGGAGAAGGAAATTGCAAACCACTCCAGTATCTCTGCCAAGAAAACCCCAAATGGGGTCACAAAGAGTTGAACATGACTAAAAATGAAACAACAACAACGACAATATATTTTAAGTATTTAAAAACATTATTCTGAAAAGGGGTCAATAGCTCCCACCAGATTGCCAAAGGGGGCCATGGCAGCTAGGCGGCTCTGTGGATACAGCACTAGGCCTGAAGTCAACAAGATCTGAGTTCAAATCCAGACTCAAACACTTACTAGCTGTGCGACCCTGGGCAAATCACTTCATTCTGCTTCAGTTTCCTCATCTGTGAAATGGGAATAACGATAGTACCTACCTCATAAGGTTATGGTGTGAGGGATCAAATGGGATAATATTTGTAAAGCAATGAGCATAATGCCTAGCACACAGTAGGTGCTTAATAAATGCTTGTCCCTTTCCTCCTTACATGAAAAAACTTTAAAACCTCTGTTTCAAATGATTTTCATTATTTTTTCTAGCTCTATAAAATAATTCCTTAGTAGTTTGGTATGACCCTGAATAAATCAATTTAGGTAGCATTGTTATTTTTATTATTTTGGCAGAACCTATGTGAGCAGTTAATATTTCTTTTTTAAATTAAATTTATTTATCTTTAGTTATCAACATTCATTTTTATAAGATTTTGAGTTCTAAAAGTTCTCCCCACTCCCTAAGACAACATGCAATCTGCTATAGGCTATACATGTACAATCACAGTAAACGTATTTCCACATTAGTTGTGTTGAGCAATTCATATTTCTATAATTATTTAGGTCAAATTGAGTTAACAAGAATTTATTAAACACCTACTATGTGCCAAGCACTATTTCTGAGAAGAGTGTCTGGTAGCTGCCTTCTTACATTTCTTGAGTGTGACTTGGTAGACAGACTCCTGAATATTTCATACACTCGGTCACTATTTTGAATGAAATGAGCCTAGGTCTTCTCAACTCCAACTCTCCCACTCCCTGTACCAAATGGAATACTTTTATAACCCTGCCTCTACCCAAACCAGAAATGGTCAGTTTGGTTAAAAAAAAAAGTCTGCTTCACAAATACAGATTGAGGGAGGCTTCAAAGACTACAGTTCCTATTGGGAAAGATCTGGATGTCTTAGTGGACCACAAGCTAATGTAAGTGAATGGAATGATTTGGCAGCCACCAAAAGTAATGCTATTTGAGTTTTCATTCAGAGAGATGCAGTTATAATAACCAAGACTGGTCTTAGAGAGGAGATGAGAAAATGTATGTAGGCTATAGGTACAGGATATAGTATATATTCACTCAGGAAGCTTTTTTTAGGCAACTTGGTGGAACAGTGGATAGAGCACTGAGGTTAGAGTCAAGATCTGCCTCATTCACTGGACAAATCATTTAAACTCTCTCTGCCTAAGGCTTCTTCATCTGTAAAAAATAGAGATAATAACACCTTCTTCACAAGGTTATTGTCTGAATTAAATGTGTGTAAAGCACTTTGCAAACCTTAAATCTCCATATAAATCCTAGCTCTTATTATTATTATGCATCCCTGAGGACACCAAACCAAAAGTGATACGGCCCCTGTCCTCAAGGGGCTTCCATTCTACTGGAGGAGATAACATATACACAGGTACACATAAAACACACACAAAGTCAAATCAAAGTCATTTGGGGAGTGGGGTGGAGTTAAAGGAGGGACACCAGCAACTGGAAAGGGCAGGAAAGGCTTCCTTGAGAAGGTGGCATTTGAGCTGAAGGTTGAAGTAATCCAGGCATCGGGGATCTTCCAGTGCAGGTGAGTCAGAAGAGCATTCCTGACAGAGGGCACAGCCAGTGCAAAAACAAAGAGGTAGGAAATGGAGTGTTGTACTATTGTACATTGGGTACTGGGTCCTAAGCATATTGGGGCTAGGTTGTGAAGATCGTTAAGATATAAATATTAAATATATCAAATAGCAAATATAAAGAATTTTTATTTACTCAGAGCTTACTGACTAGAGCTGCAATTTAGGGGAAAAAATCAGTTTGACTGCTGGGTGAAGGATGGCTTAGAGAGGAAAACACTTGAGCCTGAGAGACCAATTGGGAAGCTATTGAAATTGTTCAGGATGTGGAGTGATGAAAGCTTGACCTCAGGCGGGGGTGGATGAGTCTGGTGGTTAGTTTTACTGAACTGCATTTTTCCTCTTTCATTCTCATTCTTTGACACAAAGGATAGCTCAACAGATAGAGGAAGAGGAAGTAATATATTCAGAAATTAAAATAATATTAACAAAAAATTTTATAATTGGTGTCCTTCCTATAGAAGATTGAAATTAAATGATGTTTTAAATGGGATTCCTGAAAGGGGCGGGGGGGTGGTGTTGGGGGAACTGAGAGAGAATGGGTATCCTGAATGAGAGTGATGACTGAGTTTCCATATTGTCCTGGTCAGATCACATCTGAAGAATTTTATTCAGTTCTGGCTACCATGTTTTAGGAAAGATGCTGATGACCTGGAGTGCAACCAGAAGAGGTTGAACTTGGGGACTGGACGCCAGTCAATTCAGCATCCATTTAAGCACCGGTTGCCTGCAAGTATGCTGGGTGCTGAGGATGCAAAGACAAAAGATTTTTTAAAAGTCCCTCTTCTGGAGAGGCTTCCATTTTTCTAGGGGATGAAATGCGTAAATAGATAAAGAAAGATGATTTAGGGAAAGGAGAGCATTAACAGAAGTGGAGGGAGAGAGGGCATGAGGGAATCCAGAAAGGCTTCATGGAAGAGGTGACCACCGAGCTGAGCCTCGCATTTTCAGAGGTGAGGTAAAGGAAGCAATGCTTCCCCACCACGGGGTAGTAATAGTCCCAGAGGCACATGGTGGGAGATGCGAGGTGGAGGTCAGAGAGCAGCAAATGGGCCACTTTGGGCTACAATGCAGCATTTAGGAAGAAAAGTCATATGGAATAATAAAGCCAGACTAGGAAGGGCTTTAAATGGGAATCTGAGGAGTTTGCAATTTATCTCAGAGGCAACGGGTTTGGAGTTGGAGAACTTGGATTCGAACCCCGACTTGGCCACTTACTACCTATATGACCTAGTGCATGTCATTGAATCTCTCTGGGGCTCATTTTCTTATTAGGTAAAAAATAGGGGAGGTTGCATGGTTACATAAATATTCAGAGCAGCACTTTTTATTGAACTAGAAACAAAGGGGGTGACCATTAATTGGGGAATGGCAGGACAAATGATAGCCCATGAATGTAATAGGATACTGCAAGAAATGAGGAAAAGGGAGATTCCCTTTAAGGCAGGGAGGCACTGCTGCTGGGAATGGAGCTCTGGACCTAGCATGAGGAAGATCTGAGTTCAAATTCAGTCTCAGACACTTACTATAGCTGTATGACCTTGGGCAAACACTTAACATCTGTTTGTCTCACTTCCCTTATCTGTAAAATACGGGTAAAAATCTGGTTGTTCATCACTAATGTGAAAATATGTTTAACAGGAATGTATATGTACAGCCTATATCAGATTGTGCGCCATCTTGGGGAGGGAGGTGGAGAAAAATTTGAAACTCAAAAGCTTGTGGAAGTGTTGGTTGATATTTCAAAATGAATTAATTTTTAAAAATATGATTGCTGTGAGGATCAAATGAGATATAGGTAAAGTACTTAACACAGTGCCCAGCATTACATTAAAAATAACATTAGGCTGGGCAAGTCACTTAACCCCATTGCCTAGCCAAAAAGAAGAGAGAAAAAACAAAAAGATGAAACAATTCACTATTTAGGGGCAACTAGATGGCGCAGTGGATAGAGCACCAGCCCTGGAGTCAGGAGGACCTGAGTTCAAATCTAGCCTTAGATGCATAATACTCACTAGCTGTGTGACCCTGAGCAAGTCACTTTACCCCTATTGCTTTGTTAAAATAAATAAATAAATAACATTAGGGATTTCATTTTGCCTTTATTCTCCATTTTGTGAAGCTGAGTTTCACCTGATTTTTGGAGAAGTTACAAAATTACTCCCCCTCCCAAAGATCGCCAGATTTAAGGAATGTCACAAAACTACCCCTCACCCTCTCACCTCTGTGTTCCCTGATCCCCTCCAATAGGAAACCAGCTATCTCAATCCTTATAATCCTGTTTTTCCTGTTTTTTACTCCCTCCAAATTGTATTTTAACTGTGTGTAAACCAAGGTTCTGAGCTCTCAGCTACTGAGAACCTTGGATCCAGTTTGTTTCCTACAATTGAATGCATTGCTAAATAAATTGTTGTGTGA